TTGGAGAGTCCAGTGTCTGTGTAGAGACCTCCTGAAAGACTTTGATATTGCGAGTTGTCCCGTCGAGCACCCGCTGGACCTTATCATTATATATATAATGGACGTCGTCACTTCCTCGACCGACCATGGTGTGCTTTTCTTTGCCATTGTTGTAGCTCCTCTGTTAACAAAAATGCTGTTTGTAAAAATGGATTATCTCGCGCGCAGATTGTGACGATTCTCTCCGACCAATCAGCAGCCGAGAGCGTTGACGTCACAAACACAGCCCGGTTGTGTTTGGCCCTGGCCCCACGATTTTATGAGGCCAGAAAAACTGAGAATTAGGACCAGCCGGCCGGTACTAGGCCAAGTGGAAACGCAACCACAAACGGGCCGCTGACGTCACAGCCCTCTTAAACCGGGCTGCGCGCTGTAGTGGAAACGCGCCATAAGTCTGGTGGTTTAGACCTGATGCCAGACAGGGGGTGATCTGTCTCTGAGTCTGGTGGTTTAGACCTGATGCCAGACAGGGGGTGATCTGTCTCTGAGTCTGGTGGTTTAGACCTGATGCCAGACGGGGGGTGATGGGGGTCAGTGTGTGGATTAGGTAGACAGACAGGAAAGAGTGTGATTGGGTGTCGATCCAACGACCATCCATCAATCGATCCAACCACCACCCATCAATCGATCCAACCACCACCCATCAATCGATCCAACCACCACCCATCAATCGATCCAACCACCACCCATCAATCGATCCAACCACCATCCATCAATCAATCCAACCATCACCCATCAATCGATCCAACCATCACCCATCAATCAATCCAACCATCATCCATCAATCAATCCAACCATCAATCGATCCAACCATCATCCATCAATCAATCCAACCATCAATCGATCCAACCATCATCCATCAATCAATCCAACCATCAATCGATCCAACCACCATCCATCAATCAATCCAACCATCATCCATCAATCGATCCAACCATCACCCATCAATCAATCCAACCATCATCCATCAATCAATCCAACCATCCATCGATCCAACCATCATCCATCCATCAATCGATCCAACCATCATCCATCAATCAATCCAACCATCAATCGATCCAACCATCATCCATCAATCAATCCAACCATCAATCGATCCAACCATCATCCATCAATCGATCCAGCCATCATCCATCAATCGATCCAACCATCATCCATCAATCGATCCAACCACCATCCATCAATCGATCCAACCATCAATCGATCCAACCATCATCCATCAATCGATCCAGCCATCAATCGATCCAACCATCATCCATCCATCGATCCATCCATCAATCGATCCAACCATCATCCATCAATCGATCCAACCACCATCCATCAATCGATCCAACCATCAATCGATCCAACCATCATCCATCCATCGATCCATCCATCAATCGATCCAACCATCATCCATCCAACCATCATCCATCAATCGATCCAACCACCATCCATCAATCGATCCAACCATCATCCATCCAACCATCATCCATCAATCGATCCAACCATCAATCGATCCAACCATCATCCATCAATCGATCCAACCATCAATCGATCCAACCATCAATCAATCCATCGATCCAACCATCAATCGATCCAACCATCATCCATCCAACCATCATCCATCAATCGATCCAACCATCAATCGATCCAACCATCATCCATCAATCGATCCAACCATCAATCGATCCAGCCATCATCCATCCATCGATCCAACCATCATCCATCAATCGATCCAACCATCAATCGATCCAACCATCAATCAATCCAACCATCAATCGATCCAGCCATCAATCGATCCAACCATCAATCGATCCAACCATCATCCATCAATCGATCCAACCATCAATCGATCCAACCATCAATCAATCCAACCATCATCCATCAATCGATCCAACCATCAATCAATCAGTCTCTCCTTCAGAAAGATCCAAAAACACAGTTCTGAATTCTGGCACTCAAATTTATTTACAACAGTTAACAGAGCGGCAACTACAAAACAACAAAACTAACAAACCTTCGGGTACAGGAAACTTAACGACCTCGTTAAGGCGGGTACAGGAAACTTAACGACCTCGTTAAGGCGGGTACAGGAAACTTAACGACCTCGTTAAGGCGGGTACAGGAAACTTAACAACCTCGTTAAGGCGGGTACAGAAGAACATGTTGGCTCCGCCCCCTGTTCAGTGATTGGTGAATGAGGGTGTGTCAGAAACTCTGACAGTCTCTAGTCTGCTTCCTGTTTCCATGTAAACACTCCTGTCCAACAGCCAATCAGTCGCTCTGATGTTTGGAGTTGAAGATCTTTGCTAGCAACGAGACGTTTGATTGGCTCTTCTGCTGTATGAGGCGGGCCTTGTCCAGGTGCTTCTGGGAAACGGAGTCTTTCTTCTTCCTCTTCCTTATCTGGATCTCCTCCTCCGTTTGACGCTGAGTGAAGTCCCACGTCCTCTCGTCCACCTGACAACCAATCACAAGACAACAAACCATTAACTGAGAACGTGATCACATGACAGGGCGGAGTCAGCAGCATGTGACCAATCAAAGATGTGTTACAGGTGGGACAGGTGTGTTACAGGTGGGATACGGGTGTGTTACATTTTGACGGACAGGATCGTAATATTTCCGTCAAAATCCATTATTACCCGTCGTTCTGTACACAACTGACGGGGGGGGCGGGGGGGGAAGAGCACGCTCATGAACCGTCAACGGGGGGGGCTCGTGAACTGTTAGCGCCGGTGTTATGCCGTGTTATGCATGCCCACTGCACCTCGCGGGAGCGTGCCACAGCGTGTGTTACAGGTGGGACAGACGGGTGTGTTACAGGTGAGATACGGGTGTGTTACAGGTGGGACAGGTGTGTTACAGGTGAGATACGGGTGTGTTACAGGTGGGACAGGTGTGTTACAGGTGAGATACGGGTGTGTTACAGGTGGGACAGGTGTGTTACAGGTGAGATACGGGTGTGTTACAGGTGGGACAGGTGTGTTACAGGTGAGATACGGGTGTGTTACAGGTGGGACAGTTGTGGGACAGGTGAGATATGGGTGTGGGACAGGTGTTTTACAGGTGAGATAGGTGCAGTGTTTCCCCTATATACAAATATGCGCGCCGCTGCTAGGGGGCGCCAGCCAGGTACCCTTTTTTTTACTTTTTTTTTTTTAAATTAAAATAATAATAAGTGGCGACTAGAGATTTCCCGATCCGATCACGTGATCGGGGATCGGAGCCGATCACGTGATTTTCAAAAGATCGGAATCAGGAGAAAAAAATCGGGATCGGGATTTTTTTTATAAAATATTTTGATTATTTTATTTAATGTTACAAAACAAAAATGACCATGTTCACGTCACGTCACATTGCCAAGGCACTCCTTTGTAATTATTAGGATGAATAAAAACAGGTTTGAAATCATTGTATACTATAGGACAGAAAACCAGACATATCGTTTACAGTTGGAGAGATACAAACATATGCATAAATGAATGTTAACTGAAATAAGATATGAATGAACAACAAAAATAAAATAAGTTCCATGTATTGGTTATTGGTTATTGGCTCTGTTCACAAACTTATTGATTATTAAAATGTAAACCGATCTTTTTCATATGGGTGTTTAGAGTTCCCCTAGATCAGGTCTCTAGATCAGGTCTCTAGATCAGGTCCCTAGATCAGGTCTCTAGATCAGGTCTCTAGATCAGGTCTCTAGATCAGGTCTCTAGATCAGGTCTCTAGATCAGGTCCCTAGATCAGGTCTCTAGATCAGGTCCCTAGATCAGGTCTCTAGATCAGGTCTCTAGATCAGGTCTCTAGATCAGGTCCCTAGATCAGGTCTCTAGATCAGGTCTCTAGATCAGGTCTCTAGATCAGGTCTCTAGATCAGGTCTCTAGATCAGGTCTCTAGATCAGGTCTCTAGATCAGGTCTCTAGATCAGGTCTCTAGATCAGGTCTCTAGATCAGGTCCCTAGATCAGGTCTCTAGATCAGGTCTCTAGATCAGGTCTCTAGATCAGGTCTCTAGATCAGGTCCCTAGATCAGGTCGCTAGATCAGGTCTCTAGATCAGGTCCCTAGATCAGGTCTCTAGTCATTGTGTGCTCAAAGTGCACCAGATTGAGCAGACCCCCGGACCCCCCTAGAGGATGTGACGTCCACCCCCCAATTCAAACATGTTCATACAATACTGAATACATTTGAAGCCATTTTGACGTCTATTACCTATGTCAATAAGTTTCTGTTTTTGTAGTGGATTTGTCTTTTGTAGAGATTTTTCATTTATTCTTTATATATCAAATCTCGCCTAGAGCAGCAAATAGTCTGGACCCGGCCTTGGTGCTACGTAGGCCTCAAGAGCCTTTCTTGTGCTGGCAGACACATAGAAACTAGCACCACGCGCCTTAGCACCACGCGCCTTAGCACCACGCGCCTTAGCACCTCGCGCCTTAGCACCACGCGCCTTAGCACCTCGCGCCTTAGCACCTCGCGCCTTAGCACCTCGCGCCTTAGCACCACGCGCCTTAGCACCACGCACCTCGCGCCTTAGCACCACGCGCCTTAGCACCTCGCGCCTTAGCACCACGCGCCTTAGCACCACGCGCCTTAGCACCTCGCGCCTTAGCACCACGCGCCTTAGCACCACGCGCCTTAGCACCACGCGCCTTAGCACCTCGCGCCTTAGCACCTCGCGCCTTAGCACTTCGCGCCTTAGCACCACGCGCCTTAGCACCTCGCGCATTAGCACCTCGCGTCTTAGCACCACGCGCCTTAGCACCACGCGCCTTAGCACCACGCGCCTTAGCACCACGCGCCTTAGCACCGCTGCTATGACTCCATCCTAGGGGAAACACTGAGGTGTGTTATTGGTGTGTGTGCGTGCTCTTGGTTTACCTGCTGGCCGTCCCTCTGTCTCTTCCTCCTCACGGTGTCCAGGTGAGCGCTCCGGTCCACGTTGTTCAGGTAGAAGTTGGTCTCTCTTTTGGCCTGAGAAACCTCTGTCCTCAATCTCTGCTGCTGCACCGTCTGCTCAAAGGCCAGGCGCTCCGACAGGTGAGTCCACTGGAACCTGTGCAGGTACTGAGAGAGACAGACAGGTGAGAGACAGACAGGTGAGAGACAGACAGGTGAGATACAGACAGGTGAGTCCACTGGAACCTGTGCAGGTACTGAGAGAGACAGACAGGTGAGAGACAGACAGGTGAGTCCACTGGAACCTGTGCAGGTACTGAGAGAGACAGACAGGTGAGAGACAGACAGGTGAGTCCACTGGAACCTGTGCAGGTACTGAGAGAGACAGACAGGTGAGAGACAGACAGGTGAGTCCACTGGAACCTGTGCAGGTACTGAGAGAGACAGACAGGTGAGAGACAGACAGGTGAGTCCACTGGAACCTGTGCAGGTACTGAGAGAGACAGACAGGTGAGATACAGACAGGTGAGTCCACTGGAACCTGTGCAGGTACTGAGAGAGACAGACAGGTGAGAGACAGACAGGTGAGTCCACTGGAACCTGTGCAGGTACTGAGAGAGACAGACAGGTGAGAGACAGACAGGTGAGTCCACTGGAACCTGTGCAGGTACTGAGAGAGACAGACAGGTGAGAGACAGACAGGTGAGTCCACTGGAACCTGTGCAGGTACTGAGAGAGACAGACAGGTGAGAGACAGACAGGTGAGTCCACTGGAACCTGTGCAGGTACTGAGAGAGACAGACAGGTGAGAGACAGACAGGTGAGTCCACTGGAACCTGTGCAGGTACTGAGAGAGACAGACAGGTGAGAGACAGACAGGTGAGTCCACTGGAACCTGTGCAGGTACTGAGAGAGACAGACAGGTGAGATACAGACAGGTGAGTCCACTGGAACCTGTGCAGGTACTGAGAGAGACAGACAGGTGAGAGACAGACAGGTGAGTCCACTGGAACCTGTGCAGGTACTGAGAGAGACAGACAGGTGAGAGACAGACAGGTGAGTCCACTGGAACCTGTGCAGGTACTGAGAGAGACAGACAGGTGAGAGACAGACAGGTGAGTCCACTGGAACCTGTGCAGGTACTGAGAGAGACAGACAGGTGAGAGACAGACAGGTCACCTTGATGCACCACAGGTCTGAGGCGAAGCGTTGGCGCTTCCTGGTCCCCATGGGCGTGTTGTGCAGCGAGGCAGCCACCAGCTTGGCTCTGCGCTTGTCTCTGAACTCGATCCAGCCCTCAGTGAAGTCGCAGCGCCGGGACCCCCCCTTCCTCTTCTTCGTGCTCACCTGCCCGTCTGGAAGTACACACACATGTATAAGTACACAGAAGCACATGTATAAGTACACAGAAGCACATGTATAAGTACACAGAAGCACATGTATAAGTACACAGAAGCACATGTATAAGTACACAGAAACACATGTATAAGTACACAGAACACAGAAGCACATGTGTAAGTACACAGAAGCACATGTGTAAGTACCCTCTGGCTGCAGGAAGATGTGTATATATGTGTGTGTATTAGTACACAGTGTGTATAAGTACCCTCTGGCTGCAGGAAGATGTGTATATGCGTGTGTATTAGTACACAGTGTGTATAAGTACCCTCTGGCTGCAGGAAGATGTGTATATATGTGTGTGTATTAGTACACAGTGTGTATAAGTCAGTGTTGTAGTCAAGTCACCAATTCACGAGTCCAAGTCACTCTCGAGTCACCACTCTTCGAGTCCGAGTCACCAAGGGAGAGTCGTAGTCGAGTCCGAGTCCAAGTCCGAGTCACCCAAGGAGTGTCCGAGTCGAGTCCGAGTCCGAGTCATCATTACCTGTGTTCGAGTCAGAGTCCAAGTCCGAGTCACCTCAGAAGAGTCCAAGTCAAGTCAGAGTCCCAAGTCTTCATGTATTAATCTTCGTGGATATATGTGTTGAAATGTAGCTGCTCCTCTACATTGCTTTCATCCTGTCATGTTATACTAATCTGTCTATTGAACTGCTGTGAAGCCAGTTTGGCTACAAGTCTTGTAATAGGTGCTATACAAATATAAAGCTTATTACTAATATTAATATTATTATTATTATTATTGTAAATGACCTATAATATGTCTAACTATATTTAAAATGAGTTACCTTTTAGAGAAGTGATTATATTTGTAAGCCAATATTTTCCTATGGTAAAGTTTTCGTTTTGCACTTTTATTTTGATAGTAATAAGATCGGGACTCTTATTTTGAAAGAACATTTACCGGTTAAATCGGTTTACTGATAAAGATTGAGCCCCAGAAAGCACATGGCTACTTAGCATGCAGAATGACGCTTTCTGTTATCGGCTGAATCTTTATGTATTGATTAGATGACGTTACTCTGATGATAGTGTTCAAGACAGCCTATATGTCTGAACTCGATGTTTAGAGTAATGTGTTACGGAGCCTTCTCTTCTCTATTGTTTCCACACAACGAGCATTTTGCTGCTCTTTTCCAATGTGGAAGCAGAATGTGTGAAAGCATACAGCACGATGCGGGGTGTGTCTCTAGACATCTTTAGACTGGAACAGCGGGGCCCGGTACGTGAACTCGCCTCGCAGCCGGTGCACACGCCAGGATAGAGGACATCAGACTCCAGAGAAAACTTGCTCGAGTCCGAGTCCGAGTCCAAGTCGGAGCGTCAATGTACAAGTCGAGTCCGAGTCATCGTGGGGGGAAAAATTCACGAGTCCGAGTCCAAGTCATCGTACGCCAGAATTCACGAGTCCGAGTCCGATGCGCGTCAATCAGTGCGCGAGTCCGAGTCAAGTCACGAGTCCCGAAAATCGACACTGGAGTCCGACTCGAGTCCGAGTGCAGGACTCGAGTACTCCATCTCTGGTATAAGTACCCTCTGGCTGCAGGAAGATGTGTATATGCGTGTGTATTAGTACACAGAGTGTGTATAAGTACCCTCTGGCTGCAGGAAGATGTGTATATATGTGTGTATTAGTACACAGAGTGTGTATAAGTACCCTCTGGCTGCAGGAAGATGTGTATATATGTGTGTATTAGTACACAGAGTGTGTATAAGTACCCTCTGGCTGCAGGAAGATGTGTATATGCGTGTGTATTAGTACACAGAGTGTGTATAAGTACCCTCTGGCTACAGGAAGATGTGTATATATGTGTGTATTAGTACACAGAGTGTGTATAAGTACCCCCTGGCTGCAGGAAGATTTGTATATGCGTGTGTATTAGTACACAGAGTGTGTATAAGTACCCTCTGGCTGGAGGAAGATGCGGCCCACCTCCCCATAGGCTGACAGCAGGTTCCTCACGTGTCGGGGGCGGAGCCTCGGAGGGATGTGACCCAGGTAGAGAATACCTGGGACACACTTCCTGTCTCCGGCTGCTTCCTGATTGGTCTGCTTCTTCATCCCTGAAACACCTTCATCACCACCATCTTTATCCTTATGCTCTTCATCACCTGAGACCTCTTCATCACCTGAGACCCCTTCTTCACCACCTGAGACCTCTTCATCATCATCATCACCTGAGACCTCTTCATCATCATCATCACCTGAGACCTCTTCATCATCATCACCTGAGACCTCTTCCTCCTCTTCCTCTCTGGTGGATGTAGTCGTCCTCTCCTCCTCCTCTTCCTCTCTCCTCTTCATCATGGCGTGTTGTGTTCACTGAAAGTCAGACAGCAGAGTTTCGGTTGAACATCAAACTGATGATAAAGAGTAAGAGATGATCTCCTGAAGCACGGAGAGGTCTGGTGGTGTGGGAGGGTAACATGTATATATATATATGTGTGTGTGTATATATATATATATATATATTTGTGTATATACACCTATACATATACATGTACCCGACCCGATGCAGGACTCTGATATACACCCGACAGGCTGACCAGGGAACCCGATCAGCCTGGTGTTTACCCTTCAGGCTGATTCTGACCAGGGAACCCGATCAGAATCAGCCTGAAGGGCAAACACCAGGTTTACTAATCTACCGGCACAATGTTTCTCTGGTGTCGGAATGTCTCGCGATGTTTGTGAATTCTTAAAAAACAAAACACCATTTCATTTCGGGTTAAAATGAGTTGTAACTGCGTTACTGAGAATTGTAACGGGTAGTATATTACCCAAATTTCATTAGTAATGCTTTACATTACTTCGTGACAGCAAAAAGTAATACATTACTGTAACTCCGTTACTGTTGTAACAGTGTTGGGTGTAACGCGTTACCTTTGTAACGCGTTACACTGCTTATAAACTCTAAACTCACCTTCGGAATAAGAAAATAAGAAAATAACAAACGGCTCTTCTCACGTGTTCCTTGTGTCGCGTCTTGATGACGACACGCAGCGCGACGATCAGCTGATCTGAACCATGATCTGAACGGCCAGAAATGCCTTCAAAATAAAAGCATGTAAACTCTCCGCTGTTGTTGGAGTGACGTCACTAAGTGTTTATTATTGTTTACTATCAGCTGTTGTTAGAGATACACTAAGTGTTTATTAGTGTTTACATACAGGTCACATAAACACAAACAAATTCACAATAAGAGAAATCGATAAACTGAATACAACCTTTACTGTGAAACCGGAAGTAAGGCTCCTCAGAGGCGAAAGGCATGCTGGGAAACGCGAGCGGTGAAGAGCAGGTAGTACACAGTTTAAAGAGTATTTAATACTTTATACACAGTTTAAAGAGTATTTAATACTTTTTATTACATGGCTTAGTTGAATACTCGATTCTGATTGGTCAATTCAGAACACGTGACACGTTGTTAATCCAGAACAGACAGACCAACTGTATGTAAATTGTAAATAAGCCATCTGTATGTCAAATATGTCTTATATGTCTTAAATGATATGATGAATTGGAAATGGGGGACCCTGATGTAAACAAGACGAAAGTCTTTCTCTGGTCTGCATCCCCTTAACAATTGTATGTTTTGAGCTGTACTGTACTGTACCCAATATACAAGCTGTTAATAAACTTTTCAATCAATCAATCAATCAAACCGCTGTCAAGGATTTATTGACCGTTGTTAAGGATGCTCACATCTGCAGAAAGAAGTTCGGTTGATTTCCATGCAGATCTAGATCCCTCCGCTTCGCGCCAGGCTCCTGATCAGCCTGTCGGATGTTCTTTTCCCCATAATGACCGCGTCGCTGCACATGATCCCTTACATACTCTCTGTATACTCAGATGAAGATGCAGATCTCCAGCTGTTCTCTCAGTCCAGCTGTGAAGAGCCGACTGACAGCAGCTGGGTTCCACTTCCTGTCTGAGCTGCGGGGGCTAAGCCCCTCCCACATCTGTGCAGGTACATATACACTCTATGTATACTAATATACACTGATATATACTATACACTATACTCTATGCATTATACCATCCAGAAACAGAGGAGGGGGAATAAGTACTGAGGTCTTGTACTTGAGTAAAAGTAGAAGTACTCAGATCTTGTACTTGAGTAAAAGTAGAAGTACTCGGATCTTGTACTTGAGTTAAAGTAGAAGTACTCACATCTAGTACTTGAGTTAAAGTAGAAGTACTCACATCTAGTACTTGAGTAAAAGTAGAAGTACTCACATCTAGTACTTGAGTAAAAGTAGAAGTACTCACATCTAGTACTTGAGTTAAAGTAGAAGTACTCACATCTAGTACTTGAGTAAAAGTAGAAGTACTCACATCTAGTACTTGAGTTAAGGTAGAAGTACTCAGATCTTGTACTTGAGTAAAAGTAGAAGTACTCAGATCTTGTACTTGAGTAAAAGTAGAAGTACTCAGATCTTGTACTTGAGTAAAAGTAGAAGTACTCACATCTAGTACTTGAGTAAAAGTAGAAGTACTCACATCTAGTACTTGAGTAAAAGTAGAAGTACTCAGATCTTGTACTTGAGTAAAAGTAGAAGTACTCAGATCTTGTACTTGAGTAAAAGTAGAAGTACTCACATCTAGTACTTGAGTAAAAGTAGAAGTACTCAGATCTTGTTCTTCAGGGTTAGGGTAATGTAATAGAGAACCGCAGTGACGCGTCCTAAAACCAGGAAGTGAGTCAGCATTTCTCCACTTCCTGTTCCCTGGTCTCAGAGCCAATGGGATCTCTCCACTTCCTGTTCCCTGGTCTCAGAGCCAATGGGATCTCTCCACTTCCTGTTCCCTGGTCTCAAAGCCAATGGGATCTCTCCACTTCCTGTTCCCTGGTCTCAGAGCCAATGGGATCTCTCCATAGGGTTTAGGAAGATATCTGAACCAAGGTCTGTGGTTGAGACACATTGAAGAGACGGATCACGTTTTGTTCTAGGACATTAAATCCATCAGCAGTGACCCCACTGGTGATTTCTGAAGAGTTGACGTGTCTGAAAAACGATGGTTGTTACCAAGTGGCTGAATAGGACTACAGAAGTCGTGGAGGACGTTGTACGTCATTACACCGAACACGTGAACACTCCTCTAAGTTAGTTTGCCCTGTTCTGCTTGAAAGCAAGTCCCTGCCTCCTGCAGACTGTTCAAACAAACGCTTCAACTCGTACCATTTAGAATCTGTGTGTTTGAATATGGATCTGAAGTTGGCGTGACGTTGAAGCAGCGACCCTGCTGTAGTTCGTTTATAGCATAACGTTAGCATTTTGCTTCTGGGGACTAGATTTATGATTCGAAAAAAAAAGTAGACCCTAAAAGTAGGGTAGACATGTGGAGATGAACCGGCTGAACAAAACGTGATCCGTCTCTTAAATGTGTCTCAACCACAGACCTTATTTCCAGCTATTTTCCAAAATCCTATGGAGAAATCTCATTGGTTTTTGACGAAGGAACCGGAAGGAGTTTACTTCCGGGTTTTAGGACGCGTCACTGTGGCACTCTATGCAATGTAATGTAATGTGATGTAATGTGATGTAATGTGATGTGATGTGATGTGATGTGATGTGATGTGATGTAATGTGATGTAATGTGGTGTGGTGTGGTGTAATGTAATGTGATGTGATGTGATGTGATGTAATGTAATGTGATGTGATGTGATGTGATGTGATGTGATGTAATGTGATGTGATGTGATGTGATGTAATGTAATGTAATGTAATGTGATGTGATGTGATGTAATGTGATGTGATGTGATGTGATGTGATGTGATGTAATGTGATGTAATGTGGTGTGATGTAATGTGATGTGATGTGATGTGATGTGATGTGATGTGATGTGATGTAATGTGGTGTGGTGTGGTGTAATGTGATGTGATGTAATGTGATGTGATGTGGTGTAATGTGATGTGATGTAATGTGATGTGATGTGGTGTGGTGTGGTGTAATGTGATGTGATGTAATGTGATGTGATGTGGTGTGGTGTGGTGTAATGTGATGTGATGTAATGTCTAACTCAGTGTTTGTGGTGCAGAGGCCGGAGTCTCCCAGCAGGAGGCGCTGCAGGTGCTGCAGGCAGTGAGGGGAGGAGCTTCAATGAGGGGAGGCGCTTCAGGGGGAGGTGCTTCAGGGGGAGGAGCAGTGGGAGGAGGAGCTTCAGTGGGAGGAGCTTCAGTGGGACCTCCCCCCTCCCTCACTGCGCTGCAGCTGCTTCAGGAGGAACAGTCACAGCGCAGCATCTTCAGCTTCTGCTCACAGCTGGACGCCACGCTGGGGGGGGGACTTCCTGTCGGGAAGACCACCGAGATCTGTGGAGCGCCGGGAACCGGGAAGACACAACTGTGGTGAGACACACACACACACACACTCACACACTCAAGCACACACTCACGCACTCACTCACACTCACTGTAGGTAATGTAGTTCTGTAGTTAATGTAGTTCTGTAGGTAATGTAGTTCTGTAGTTAATGTAGTTCTGTAGATAATGTAGTTCTGTAGGTAATGTAGTTCTGTAGGTAATGTAGTTCTGTGGGTAATGTAGTTCTGTAGTTAATGTAGTTCTGTAGTTAATGTAGTTCTGTGGGTAATGTAGTTCTGTGGGTAATGTAGTTCTTTAGGTAATGTAGTTCTGTAGGTAATGTAGTTCTGTAGGTAATGTAGTTCTGTAGCTAATGTAGGTAAGGTAGTTCTGTAGTTAATGTAGTTATCTAGGTAATGTAGTTCTGTAGGTAATGTAGTTCTGTAGGTAATGTAGTTCTGTAGTTAATGTAGTTATCTAGGTAATGTAGTTCTGTAGTTAATGTAGTTCTGTAGGTAATGTAGTTCTGTAGGTAATGTAGTTCTGTAGTTAATGTAGTTCTGTGAGTAATGTAGTTCTGTAGTTAATGTAGGTCTGTAGTTAATGTAGTTCTGTAGTTAATGTAGTTCTGTAGGTAATGTAGTTCTGTAGTTAATGTAGTTCTGTAGGTAATGTAGTTCTGTAGTTAATGTAGTTCTGTAGGTAATGTAGTTCTGTGGGTAATGTAGTTCTGTAGGTAATGTAGTTCTGTAGTTAATGTAGGTCTGTAGTTAATGTAGTTCTGTAGGTAATGTAGTTCTGTAGGTAATGTAGTTCTGCAGCTGGGTAATGTAGTTCTGTAGGTAATGTAGTTCTGTAGTTAATGTAGTTCTGTAGGTAATGTAGTTCTGTAGTTAATGTAGTTCTGTAGTTAATGTAGTTCTGTAGGTAATGTAGTTCTGTAGGTAATGTAGTTCTGTAGGTAATGTAGGTAATGTAGTTCTGTAGTTAATGTAGTTCTGTAGTTAATGTAGTTCTGTAGGTAATGTAGTTCTGTAGGTAATGTAGTTCTGTAGTTAATGTAGTTCTGTGGGTAATGTAGTTCTGTAGGTAATGTAGTTCTCTAGGTAATGTAGTTCTGTGGGTAATGTAGTTCTGTGGGTAATGTAGTTCTGTAGTTAATGTAGTTCTGTAGGTAATGTAGTTCTCTAGGTAATGTAGTTCTGTGGGTAATGTAGTTCTGTGGGTAATGTAGTTCTGTAGTTAATGTAGTTCTGTAGTTAATGTAGTTCTGTAGGTAATGTAGGTCTGTAGTTAATGTAGTTCTGTGGGTAACGTAGTTCTCTAGGTAATGTAGTTCTGTGGGTAATGTAGTTCTGTAGGTAATGTAGTTAATGTAGTTCTGTAGTTAAAGTAGTTCTGTAGTTAACGTAGTTCTGTGGGTAATGTAGTTCTGTAGTTAATGTAGTTCTGTAGGTAATGTAGTTCTCTAGGTAATGTAGTTCTGTGGGTAAAGTAGTTCTGTAGGTAATGTAGTTAATGTAGTTCTGTAGTTAAAGTAGTTCTGTAGTTAACGTAGTTCTGTGGGTAATGTAGTTCTGTAGTTAATGTAGTTCTGTAGGTAATGTAGGTAATGTAGTTCTGTAGTTAATGTCGTTCTGTAGGTAATGTAGTTCTGTAGTTAATGTAGTTCTGTAGGTAATGTAGTTCTGTAGTTAATGTAGTTCTGTAGGTAATGTAGGTAATGTAGTTCTGTAGTTAATGTCGTTCTGTAGGTAATGTAGTTCTGTAGTTAACGTAGTTCTGTAGCTAAAGTAGTTCTGTAGGTAATGTAGTTCTGTAGTTAATGTAGTTCTGTAGGTAATGTAGTTCTGTAGTTAACGTAGTTCTGTAGTTAATGTCGTTCTGTAGGTAATGTAGTTCTGTAGTTAATGTAGTTCTGTAGGTAATGTAGTTCTGTAGTTAATGTAGTTCTGTAGGTAATGTAGGTAATGTAGTTCTGTAGTTAATGTCGTTCTGTAGGTAATGTAGTTCTGTAGTTAACGTAGTTCTGTAGCTAATGTAGTTCTGTAGGTAATGTAGTTCTGTAGGTAATGTAGTTCTGTAGGTAATGTAGTTCTGTAGTTAATGTAGTTCTGTAGCTAATGTAGTTCTGTAGGTAATGTAGTTCTGTAGGTAATGTAGTTCTGTAGTTAATGTAGTTCTGTAGCTAATGTAGTTCTGTAGGTAATGTAGTTCTGTAGTTAATGTAGTTCTGTGGGTAATGTAGTTCTGTAGGTAATGTAGTTCTGTAGGTAATGTAGTTCTGTAGTTAATGTAGTTCTGTAGGTAATGTAGTTCTGTGGGTAATGTAGTTCTGTGGGTAATGTAGTTCTGTGGGTAATGTAGTTCTGTAGGTAATGTAGTTCTGTGGGTAATGTAGTTCTGTGGGTAATGTAGTTCTTCAGTCTGCAGCTGGTGGTGGACGTGCAGGTTCCCGTGTGTTTCGGGGGTCTCGAAGGCCAGGTGGTTGTCGTGGATACGGAGGGCAGCTTCCTGTTGCAGCGGGTCCAGGATATTGCCGGCGCCGTGGTGAAACACTGCTCCTTATTGGTGGAAGACGACGAACAGCGGGTTGCTATGACGACCTTCAGCGTGGAAACCATCCTTTCTAACATCTTCCTGGTAATGATCGGCACAGTAGCAGTGATGTCATCACTCGGCGCCTCATGTGACTCTGATCTGTCTGTCTCTCCTCAGGTGCGTTGCCATGACTACGTGGAGCTGCTGGCCGAGCTGCACCTGCTGCCGGACTTCCTGTCGGAGCACCCGAGGGCCCGCCTCCTGGTGATTGACAGCGTGGCGTTCCCGTTCCGGCTGCACTTTGACGAGCTGTCGCAGAGGACCCGCCTCCTCAACGGCCTCGCCCAGCAGCTCATCGCCATGGCAACCAGCCACAACGTCGCCGTGGTGATCACCAATCAGATGACAACCAGGCTGCGGGGCGGCCAATCACAGCTCGTCCCCGCCCTCGGGGAGAGCTGGGGCCACGCCCCCACCATCAGACTCCTCCTACAATGGGCGGGGACTCAACGACTAGCCACCATCTTTAAATCCCCTGGTCACCCCGGAGCCACCGTCCAATACCAGATCACCTCCGACGGGTTCAGAGATGCCGACCAATCAGAGCAGCCGCCCAGCAAACGACCCCGAACACACACTGTCCAATCAGCTGCCAGACAGAGAGACAGTAACCAATCTTCTGCCGGACAGAGAGACAGTAACCAATCAGCTGCCGGACAGAGAGACAGTAACCAATCAGCTGCCGGACAGAGAGACAGTAACCAATCAGCTGCCGGACAGAGAGACAGTAACCAATCAGCTGCCGGACAGAGAGAGTGCAGCTGATTCATTGACACTTGAAACTAACTTCAACACGTTCAGTTCATATTAAATAAAGGTGTTCAGATGAAATAAAGGTGTTCATATTAAATAAAGGTGTTCAGATATGCACTGACAGATTGATGACCCTGCCCTGAACTGAAGGAGATGCAGCAGTCTTGTATTAGAAGTGGACATCCACTAGGAACACTGAAATGTGCCGGCTCATATCTCGACGATGCCTCAGGGAGCTGATACTCGGACTGTGCTATGGAGGCCACCCTATTGGTGTGAAAATGGAGACAATTGGACAATGTCAAATATTTAGCGGTCTTGCAGGGCCTCCATACTTGGTACAGGGACACGTGGGGCCTTTGGACCACACCCACACAGTTTGGGGGCCATACGCACCTGTTGACCCTATTAACACACTTAGGAGATATCCATGTCCACTTCAAATACATAACTGCAGTGCCTTGTGTATTTGAAGTGTACTGTACTCCTCAAATACATTAATGCACAAAATGAGGTCTGTGAAGTGTATAAGTCATACCCTCATAATGACGCTGATGCTGGGTAAGCGAATTGTGCCTCCTATGTACAAGGTTAACATTGAAAGTGACGATGATATGTCCCAATGCGTCTCAATGTACATGTTACTCCAGCTGCATATCAGTTTACTCCACTCAAATGGCACAAAACTCGAGTTCCATGGACAGACGTGTAATACACTCAAATTACAATAGATGGAGCTCTAGACTAATTTATAACATTTTTAAAAATGTTGTTAACACTCTGGGTGTGTGAGACGAGTGAACCAACACGTAAAACCTCTGGAATTAAAACAGTTTAATCGAGTTTGAGCACTAATATACCCATGTTTTGAACACTTTAGCGGGGTAAACATGTTATCTTTTCACTCTGGGTGTGTGGGACAAGTGAAACCACACTTAAAACCTCCGGAATTAAAACATTATAATCGAGTTTGAGCACTAATGTACCCATGATTCAGACACTTATTCCTGGGTAAATCTGTTATCTTTTCACCCTGGTCCTGAATTAAAACAGTTCCCACGACTTTAAACACTAATGTACCCATGTTTTGCACACTTATTCCTGGGTAAATATTTTATCTTTTCCCCCTGGGTGTGTGTGGCACCATCTGGTGGAACATTTGTGAATTACACTAAAATCCAAAACTTTAATGTTTTTTATCTTAGCGAAATAATGGTTTAATGACCCCAATGTAATGATCATTTATGATTCTGCAGACGTTGTCTACACGTGTATCACAACGGCTTATTTTTAGAGTGATTTCGAAAACTCGGTTAGTAAGGTTTTTTTTTGTCAATATGAGATGCACTGTTTTCATGTCCCATGTACATGTCTGTACATATGGCCTCACGCACTACTAAGGTAGGGGTATGACTTCTCCATATGTTGGTCGCGCTTGGCTAAATAAAAAAAAATCCACTCAATGTCCAACTTCAGAAGCCTATCGGGGACGTCAAGTCTCAGGACCCTGAGTTTTTTAGGGCATCCCTGGGAAACTTTTGTTCCGGAGGGTCTGCGACACTGAATAAATAATATAAATATGTTTGTCGGCATTCGAGGTTGAGCGATCCGATGCTGGTTTCGGGTCTCCACGTGCTTCGGAAGCTCTGCGGGAACACGTACACTTGGAGTTAGAAATGAATGGTGGCGAAAAGGAAGGGTAATCCCATTGTAAAGTATTTGAAATGTTAGCCAAATAGCTTGAAATTATGTGGATTTATATAGTGGCCTTAATTGGTTGGCACTAGGAGGGGCCGTGGTGTGCTTTTGACCACAGAGGTGCGAAGCCCCTCAAATGTTAGGCATATCCAGCCACTTTGGGGGTCTTTCGGGCGAAACAGGCCTTTAATTGGGCGGGTCCGTGACGGTCCGGGTGAAATGCCCTTTGGACGAATTGCAAGTGGACAAAGTCGCTCGAAGTGCACACCAGCGGTGTGGACGTAGCACCTCCAACAGTCCTTGGCACCGCCAAGGACGTTTATATCGGAATGTACGTTGCATGTCCACCGTCGCACAGTTTGTCCACCGTCGCGCAGTTTGTCCACTGCCAAGGAGTTTGTCCACCGCCAAGGAGTTTGTCCACCGCCAAGGAGTTTGTCCACCGCCAAGGAGTTTGTCCACCGCCAAGGAGTTTGTCCACTGCCAAGGAGTTTGTCCACCGTCGCGCAGTTTGTCCACTGCCAAGGAGTTTGTCCACCGCCAAGGAGTTTGTCCACCGCCAAGGAGTTTGTCCACCGCCAAGGAGTTTGTCCACCGCCAAGGAGTTTGTCCACCGCCAAGGAGTTTGTCCACTGCCAAGGAGTTTGTCCACCGCCAAGGAGTTTGTCCACCGCCAAGGAGTTTGTCCACCGCCAAGGAGTTTGTCCACCGCCAAGGAGTTTGTCCACCGCCAAGGAGTTTGTCCACTGCCAAGGAGTTTGTCCACTGCCAAGGAGTTTCCCATTCTGCCGGTGTCCATAAGGTTGAAGTTTCCCTTCCTGAAGTTTCTTGAAAGCCAAAGCTGCTTGGCGGGGGCTTTTCATGAAATGTTCACAAAACCGTGTCTCAGGGATTCTTAACATTTAACAACCTTTTAATGTGTCATACCCACTTAACGGGAAGAAACTCAGCTAACTGACGATATGAACCATTTTTACCTAAACAAAACACAACTCTAACGCCAAGCGTCTGAATTAGCACTAAGAGAAAGAGTGCTAACACTTAGCACATAACTCACGGTAGCGATCTTTTATACTTCATCGGATTTGCACAAACAATATATCATATGAAAGCTGAGATTCCACAGATTCCAAAGGTATAAGTATCAACACTGTGCGACCAAAACTCATGGCAGCGAAGGCAAGCAAAGAAAACACACAACTTCACTTTACGTGGCCAAAACGGCAAATATGTCTTTTTGCTGTTTTCTGATCAAAAGTTGTGTTCAATGGCATTAAAACGCATATAAACGCTGCTGAAGGTTAATCCAATGTGTCTGTGTCACTTTGATTACTGATAATCCATCATAACATTTATGGCAATAAGAGTAGTTTTCATATATAGCTGCTATGAGAGCTACGAGAGTGTATGAGAGCTTCCGGTTTTGGGCATGCTGGCTGCGCATCACTTTCACTCCTCAATGGTAATGTTTGGATGGATTTAGGAACTCCCTCTCGATTCTATTGGCTCTAACGGTTCAAAAGAGGTGTCAATCATCAAAATCGACCAATGGGGGCCAGAGAAACGACAAATCCACCCAAATGACCCCAGAGGTGGGTTTTTTTGCTAAACCTCTAAAAAAGGTCAAATGTCACTTGTTTTGCATCAATCTTGATACAGGGTACTTATTATATGTTATAGTTTGGATTCCAAAAGCGTTTCGTCTCCGATCCCATCATTTAAGGCTGGGTTTCACTATAAGTAAGGGTTTATTTTTGGACGGACACTATAATTTACATTTTTTTACTATGTTCAATCTGAATTTTCTTTAAAATAAAAAACATCTATATTGATTCTGACTCTTCTACATCCAACTCACAGATTTATCATTACTTTGAGAATAAAGATTATTAATTTAACCCTTTTAGAAGTGAAGATAGTCATTTGTTCTGGGAATGTCATTTTCGAGCCTGACACCTGAAAAACAGGCTCCGGGCTAAACAGGTTAATTGTATTTGATTATTATAATTATAAATATTTATTTTCTTGTCAGTTATTTAATTTAATTTGTTCTGGTCTTGTCACCTGGTGTGTATTTGTTTTTGCTACTTGGTTGGTTACGTATTAGTAAATAAAATGTTGTATATTATGCATGGGTTGCCAACTCATCTGTACATGTGTTATTCACTCATTGTTAATATCTGCATTTTGTGGATGTCATTTTTTGTGCCTGTAAAAAATTCAAAACTCAATAAAGATATTGTTTAAAAAAAAAAGAGATGTTCAGATATAAACAGAGTCGAGCTGTCAGTCATCTTTATTTCCACAGAAGAAGAAACTCAGCACACACACAGACGTAGAAAACTGTCGTCACGGTGATGTCAGGGTGATGTCACGGTGATGTCAGGGTGATGTCACGGTGATGTCAGGGTGATGTCAGGGTGATGTCACGGTGATGTCAGGGTGATGTCAGGGTGATGTCAGGGTGATGTCAGGGTGATGTCAGGGTGATGTCACGGTGATGTCAGGGTGATGTCAGGGTGATGTCACGGTGATGTCAGGGTGATGTCACGGTGATGTCACGGTGATGTCAGGGTGATGTCAGGGTGATGTCAGGGTGATGTCACGGTGATGTCAGGGTGATGTCACGGTGATGTCAGGGTGATGTCAGGGTGATGTCAGGGTGATGTCAGGGTGATGTCACGGTGATGTCAGGGTGATGTCAGGGTGATGTCAGGGTGATGTCACGGTGATGTCAGGGTGATGTCACGGTGATGTCAGGGTGATGTCACAGTAGTGTCACGGTGATGTCAGGGTGATGTCACGGTGATGTCAGGGTGATGTCACGGTGATGTCACGGTGATGTCAGGGTGATGTCACAGTGATGTCACAGTAGTGTCACGGTGATGTCACGGTGATGTCACAGTGATGTCACAGTGATGTCACAGTAGTGTCACGGTGATGTCACGGTGATGTCACAGTGATGTCACAGGAGTGTCAGGGTGATGTCACGGTGATGTCATAGTAGTCTCAGGGGGATGTCACGGTGATGTCATAGTAGTCTCAGGGGGATGTCACGGTGATGTCACGGTGATGTCAGTGGACGGGGGCGGTATTTCAAGGCACTATTTATGTGAGGGTACAAACTGAGGCTGAGGCTACAGTGTGTTCATCACTGAGGTTAAAAAGAGCGGGAAACAAAACCGGCAAACACACACTCAGGAAACACCAAAGAGTGTGTGTGTGTGTGTGTCAGTGTGTGTGTGTGTGTGTGTGTGTCAGTGTGTGTGTGTGTGTGTGTGTGTGTGTGTGTGTGTGTGTGTGTGTGTGTGTGTGTGTGTGTGTGTCAGTGTGTGTGTGTGTGTGTGTGTGCAGTGGTGTGTGTAGCCAGTCGTGCTGCAGACACTGCTCTGCTGTGGCTCGTTTCTCCGGCTGAAGAACCAACATGGAGTTCAGAAAGTCACTGAAGTGCGCCGCCTGCTCCAGAGGCCACTCGTACTTCTCCAGAAGAACCTCGAACAAACCCCAGGGCTTCAGAGAGGAGATGTGCCTCAGACAGCCTGAAAGATAACATCTGTGATCAATATAACATCTGTGATCAATACAACATCTGTGATCAATATAACATCTGTGATCAATACAACATCTGTGATCAATATAACATCTGCAGGCAACCAGTTATCAGCTTTTGGTTGCCAAAACTGAAAATACGGTTGCCATTTTTAGTCACCTTATATTTTAAATAATGAAGATACTATACAGTTACACATCAACTGAATAATGAACATGTGACACAAAGGAATGTTCAAATGCTTTATTACAAAGCCTATTATTAATGTGTATATGTCTCACCTCTCCTATCAAAGTACTCTCTGGAGTACCTGCCAGACAGAGCGAAGGGAAGAGGGATCGCTCCGAGCAGCTCTATGATGTGAGCGATGTGATCTGAGTACAAGTACACACAATACACACTGTGAGTACACACAATACACACTCTGAATACACACTGAGCAGCTTTATGATGTGAGGGATGTGATATGCACACGCCACCAGGTGCACACGCCACCAGGTGCACACGCCTCCAGGTGCACACGCCACCAGGTGCACACGCCTCCAGGTGCACCTGGTGCACACGCCTCCAGGTGCACACGCCTCCAGGTGCACCTGGTGCACACGCCTCCAGGTGCACACGCCTCCAGGTGCACACGCCACACGCCACCAGGTGCACACGCCACACGCCACCAGGTGCACACGCCTCCAGGTGCACACGCCACCAGGTGCACACGCCTCCAGGTGCACACGCCACCAGGTGCACACGCCACCAGGTGCACACGCCACCAGGTGCACCTGGTGCACACGCCACCAGGTGCACACGCCACCAGGTGCACAGGCCACCAGGTGCACACGCCTCCAGGTGCACACGCCACCAGGTGCACACGCCTCCAGGTGCACACGCCACCAGGTGCACCTGGTGCACACGCCTCCAGGTGCACACGCCACCAGGTGCACACGCCTCCAGGTGCACACGCCACCAGGTGCACCTGGTGCACACGCCTCCAGGTGCACACGCCTCCAGGTGCACACGCCACCAGGTGCACCAGCCTCCAGGTGCACACGCCACCAGGTGCACCTGGTGCACACGCCTCCAGGTGCACACGCCACCAGGTGCACACGCCCCCAGGTGCACACGCCACCAGGTGCACACGCCTCCACGCCACCGTATAGGAATGTTTTGAAATTCTCCCCATGTGAAGGTTCCATCTCCTCCCAGGTGTTGAGGGGCCCTTCTCACGACACAAACAGCGGCTTATCAGCAGCTCCATTCCTGTGAGGTGAGTCTGATGAATTGTCCAGCTACACTCTGTTCCATGTTTGGTAGCTTCATCCTCCAGCTCAGATGTTTTCTAAGCAGTCCAGAAAACATGTAGAGCTCCTTCAGGGCAGGTCTGGCTCCTACAAAGTTGCTTCCGGGGTCTGACCACATTTTCTTGGGATGTCCCCTCAATGCAGTGAATCTTTTGTAGGCCAGTAGGAAGCCTTCAGCTGACTGGTCTCCAACAACATCTGCATGTATTGCTCTGGATGCCATACAGCAGAAGACAATGCCCCACACTTTAACCCTTCCTCACCTGGTCCTTCACCTCATATGGTCCAAGCAGGTCCACAGTTGTGTATTCAAAGGGTCTTGCTGGATCTGTCCGCTCTGATGGCAGGTCACTCATGATTTGCTTGCACTTCCTTCCTCTGGCAGCTGTCCACCACCTTCTTAGCCGATCTTCTGCCTTTGCCAACCCAGGCTTTCTTCCTCATCTGGAGGAGTGTTCCTGCTATTTCCTCGTGGTTTGCTATGTGGGCCTTTTGAGCAAGAAGTGTGGATATCCATGCCTCATAAGGTAGGATTGGTACTACACCTTTGTCCTCATTGAAGTATTGGATCCTTCCTCCACATACTAAGAGTCCCGACTCTTCCTCCTTAAACACAACAACCTGCTGAGAGGAATGTCTTTCAATGTTACTCCTTCCTGGGCTGAAAGGAAAAGATGTCTGAGTGCATCTTCACATTCTCAACTCTCTCTCTTCTTTTGAAGGAACTACCACTTTGACCTGAGGGGAGTTCATCATCCTCCTCTTCCACTCCTTAGCAGCTCTCAGCACCCAGGCAACAACTCGGACCAGTTGATCCAAGCTGCTGGATTTCCTCACATCAATCAGTTGCCCTATAACTGAGCCAGCTGGTATCCTTCAGGTTCGAGTCTCTTCCTCACTCTCAGAGGGTTTTATAAGGGTTACAGGTTCTTTACCATCAGGATGCTTCATCTTTGCCTGAGCTTGGCTGACTTCTTTGGCCACTCCTCTACTGGCATTTTCAGAAAGGAAGGTCCTTTCTGCCACTCAGACTCCTCCTTGAGATCAGCAGGGGTCGCTCCTCTTGTTATGATGTCAGAAATGTTTAGGTTACCTGGAATCCACCACCAATCCTCCACAGATCCAGACTTTTGGATTTCACCTACTCTGTTGGCAAAGAATGTCTGAGATCCATAACTGTCACGCTGGATTGCTCCCAACACAGTTTGACTGCCCAGAAGGTGGAACCATTGTCCTATTTCCATTCAATACGCCTTCTTAGACGAGCTGCAACAACGGCACCACAGATCTCTGCCTTCACAGGGTCAGCTTTAAGGGACAACCAATGTGATCTTTTCACTTTCCAGGTTTAACCGGTTGGCGGCTCTGTGGGTTATGTAGTTGGTGTCTGATGCTAAATCTATCCAGCAGCATCATGATAGCTGGTATCTCGTCCTGTCTATTTCCTTCCATCAGCACAGACCGGTCCTTTTCAGTTTGTTATCGCAGTCATATTGGTAAAGGCGTTCTTGCATTTTTCTGCCATTTCGGGAGAGAGTTCAGCAATAAATTTCACTTGCTCTTCTGTGAGTTTGGGTCTTGTTCTTCAAGTCTTTCCCACCTTGTCCAGCTCACGTTCTCTGTACTCTCCTCTAGGACAGAGGGGGGAAAGTGGTGGTCTGTCCAGCTCACGTTCTCTGTACTCTCCTCTAGGACAGAGGGGAAAGTGGTGGTCTGTCCAGCTCACGTTCTCTGTACTCTGCTCTAGGACAGAGGGGAAAGTGGTGGTCTGTCCAGCTCACGTTCTCTGTACTCTGCTCTAGGACAGAGGGGAAAGTGGTGGTCTGTCCAAGCTCACGTTCTCTGTACTCTCCTCTAGGACAGAGGGGAAAGTGGTGGTCTGTCCCAGCTCACGTTCTCTGTACTCTCCTCTAGGACAGAGGGGAAAGTGGTGGTCTGTCCAGCTCACGTTCTCTGTACTCTCCTCAGGAACAGAAGGAAAGGTGGTGGTCTGTCCAGCTCACGTTCTCTGTACTCTCCTCTAGGACAGAAGGAAAGTTGGTGGTCTGTCCAGCTCACGTTCTCTGTACTCTGCTCTAGGACAGAGGGGAAAGTGGTGGTCTGTCCAGCTCACGTTCTCTGTACTCTGCTCTAGGACAGAGGGGAAAGTGGTGGTCTGTCCAGCTCACGTTCTCTGTACTCTCCTCTAGGACAGAGGGGAAAGTGGTGGTCTGTCCAGCTCACGTTCTCTGTACTCTCCTCTAGGACAGAGGGGAAAGTGGGGGCGTCACCCGCTCTCTGTACTCTCCTCTAGGACAGAGGGAAAGTGGTGGTCTGTCCAGCTCACGTTCTCTGTACTCTCCTCTAGGACAGAGGGGAAAGTGGTGGTCTGTCCAGCTCACGTTCTCTGTACTCTCCTCTAGGACAGAGGGAAAGTGGTGGTCTGTCCAGCTCACGTTCTCTGTACTCTGCTCTAGGACAGAGGGGAAAGTGGTGGTCTGAAGAGCTCCCCTTCTTGCATTCTCTTTTCCTGCAAAGGTAGGTGTTTACACATTCATGTCCTTCTTCATGACATCTCAAACACCTCTTACAAGCTCCCACTCTCTTCACAGCATCTAACTTTTCGACCAGATTTAGGCTCTTGAACTGCTTTCAAAAGAATAGTTTCTCGTCATGCCTTTCTTCTCCACAGACAGTCCGTCTCTCCTGGTGGAACGTGTTGAGGAATATTTTCTTTCAAACTTCCTTTCAGGTTTCTCTGACTTTTCAGTTACTCCAAGCTGCTCCAGTGTCTTCAGAAACTCGAGGAGTCAAAATGGTTCTGAGTGGGGTGACTCTATTGCTGGGATTTACCATGAAGACGAGCCAACCCTTCTTCACAGGATCCGGCAGCTTGCTCTCTATGGACCGAGTGACCAGTGGGTTCTTGATGGCATCTGTCCTTCCAAGCTCTGTCAGGTCTGCCAGTGCTTTCTCCACAGTTTGGATCAAGTGACTCTTCTTGGTTGATCTGTTCTTAAAACAGGAATTTTCTCAAGATCTTCAATTATTTCTATTGCAATCGTAGACTTATTCCCATATCTATTTTCAAGCACTCGAAAGATGTTTTCTGTGTTGTATGTTGAAAGTCTGAGGTTTCTTGAGATCTTCTCATCCATGCTGTCCAAAAGCTGAATCTTTTTGACTTCACTCGAGCCTGTTGGTTCTCCCTGTCTTTGCAGGCTCTCCCAGTCTCTCTTCCATCTGTGGAAATCTCTTTTACAGCCATGACATTTGGGCAGACTAATTGGTTTAATTCACACCAAGGGCGTGGTGTTTGCTGCATGTGGGGTTGATGAAGCAGCCGTTAAAGTCCGCAGATCTGCACTCTTCTCTTCTTCTGAATTTCTTTGTGCAAACACAAACTCTGCTCTCCTTGCTTCAAGCTTGTTATTCATTGTCTTTAAGCCTTTGACTCTGCCTTCTAGATGAGCTTTTTCAGTCTCTGGAATCCACAGCTCCCAAGATGCTAGGCTTCTACTTCCTTGACCAGCTTCTCCATGAAAACCAACTGCATCTCATACCCATCACGATTGAGTGCAGATACAGATGTCTCAGCAGCATTATCACAAGCCGTTCCTGCTTCCTGGATTGAGGTTTCCTTTTGCCCATAACCAGACCACAGGTTTGTTTGAACAATCATTTTACTTCATTCATTCTGATTTCACATTCATCCATACTTTTTTCCATGTCAGATGTGGAAGCGCTTCTTCCACATCTTCAGCAGTGCTGGCTTCTATGTCTGCGAGTAGGCCACTCCGAAAGTCATCATTTGCTTCACTGACATTTCTTCCCATCAAAGTGAGCTTTTTGAATTCCTCCCGAAACTCAGTTTCAGTCATGCTTCTTTTGTGAATGCACCTGTAGCCATTGTCCTCTCCTGCTTGACACTTTTCCCAAAGGCTTGCTCCGCCATTTTGTTGAGGTGTGTGGTTACTGCAGACTGTTTGGTTTATTCTGACTTTTACAGGCTCTTGATCCTTTAGTCCTTATCGCTTGGCAATGGTTTTCAACTGTCAAGTTATGATTTGGTCTTCATGATTGACTCCTGCCTAAACTACGTAACATTTAATCAAAAGTAAATGCATCTCAACAAAGTAAATTATATTCCAGCATCTTATATTTTAGCTTAATACCTCATACTTCAAGGGACCCAAGGTCGCTTTACAAGTAATAGGGCAAGAACAAACATAACAAAACAAAAGTCAGACAGACAAAACAACAGATCGATTAGGGGCCGAAGGCCTTGGCAAACAGGTGGGACTTGAGGGCCCTTTTGAAGGCGTCAAGTGTGGGGATGTTGCGAATCTCCGCAGGGAGAGCGTTCCAGAGGGGGGGGTGGGCTGCCACACTGAAGGCTCGGTCCCCGAAGGTTCGCAGTTTGGTGCAGGCGATGGTGAGCAGGCCAGAGTTTGAAGACCGCAGGTTCCGGGGTGGGGCATATGGGCGAAGGAGGTCCTATAGGTACTGGGGGGCAAGGCCATGGAGGGACTTGTAGGTAAGGAGGAGGACTTTGTAGGTTATGCGGGATTTGACCGGCAACCAGTGGAGGTGGATGAGGGTGGGAGTGATGTGCTGCCACGGCTTTGTATGTGTGAGTACCCTAGCAGCACAGTTTTGGACATACTGGAGCCTGTCCAGGGTTTTGTTGGGGACCCCAAACAGGACACCATTGCAGTAGTCCAAGCGGGAGGTGACAAACGCATGCACTAGGGTTTCTGCAACCGACTCCGAGAGTGACGGTCGGAGTCGTTCTTTAGATGGAAAAAGGCCGATTTGGTGACAGATTTGACGTGGGAATGGAAGGAAAGGGTGGAGTCAAAGATGACACCCAGGTTGCGGGCTTCAGGAGATGGGGAGATGGAGCAGCCGTCGACCTCGAGGATGAAGTCACCAACCTTCTGGAGCAGCGCCTTGGGTGCCACAACCATGAGCTCTGTTTTATTGCTGTTCAGCTTAAGGTAGTTGGAAGACATCCATGTTTTGATGTCATGCAGGCACTTGATGAGGGACTGAGGGGGGAGCTGGGAGGAGGGAGTGGTGCTGAGATACAGTTTGGTATCATCAGCGTAACAGTGGAAATTGAGTCCATGATGTCTGATGATCTGGCCGAGGGGGAGCATGTCAATGGTGAACAGGAGGGGGCCAAGCACAGAGCCCTGGGGTACACCGTGGTGGACTGGGGCCGGGGGTGGGTTTGAGCCACTGATGGAGACAAACTGTTTCCTGTTATGGAGGTAGGATGTGAACCAGGACAGCGCTGTGCCAGTGACACCTAGGAGGTCTGAGAGGCGGGTGAGGAGGATGTTGTGAGAGATGGTGTCAAACGCTGCAGAGAGGTCCAGGAGGATGAGCATGCTGAGGCGGCCAGAGTCAGCAGCAATGAGGAGATCGTTGGTGATCTTGATGAGGGCAGTCTCAGTGCTGTGTTGCTGTCTGAAACCTCTCTACATCAGGACCAAAACCTCTCTCCATCAGGACCAAAACCTCTCTCCATCAGGACCAGAACCTCTCTCCATCAGGACCTCTCTCCATCAGGACCAGAACCTCTCTACATCAGGACCAGAACCTCTCTCCATCAGGACCAAACCTCTCTCCATCAGGACCAAACCTCTCTCCATCAGGACCAAAACCTCTCTCCATCAGGACCTCTCTCCATCAGGACCAGAACCTCTCTATATCAGGACCAGAACCTCTCTACATCAGGACCAAAACCTCTCTCCATCAGGACCAGAACCTCTCTCCATCAGGACCAGAACCTCTCTCCATTAGGACCAGAACCTCTCTTCTATCAGGACCAAAACCTCTCTCCATCAGGGACCCAAAACCTCTCTCCATCAGGACCTTTCTCCATCAGGACCAGAACCTCTCCCATCAGGACCCCTCTCTCCATCCAGGACCAGAACCTCTCTCCATCAGGACCAAAGCCTCTCTCCATCAGGCTCCAGAACCTCTCTCCATCAGGACCAAAGCCTCTCTCCATCAGGACCTTCTCCATCAGGACCAGAACCTCTCTCCTCAGGACTCTCTCCATCAGGACCAGAACCTCTCTCCATCAGGACCAGAACCTCAGGACCTCTCTCCACAGGACCAGAACCCTTCTCCATCAGGACCAGAACCTCTCTCCATCAGGACAAGAACCTCTCTCCATCAGGACCAAACTCTCTCCATCCGGACCTCTCTCATCAGGACCAAGAACCTCTCTCCATCAGGACCCCAAAACCTCTCTCCATCAGACCTCTCCATCAGGACTAGAACCTCTCTCTTTTTTACAGTGTTCTTAATATAGTTAGAGTCGAGTGACGAAAATCGGAGTCCGACTCCATCTCTGAATACACACTCTGAAGTACACGCTCTGAAGTACACACTCTGAAGTACACGCTCTGAAGTACACGCTCTGAAGTACACGCTCATTACATGTTACTTGCTTTTATCCAAAGCGACTTACATACTCAATACTGTGGACAATCCCCACAGGAGCAATTTGGGGTGAAGTGTCTCAGGGACACAACGACATGCTGACTGCAGTGGGGTTTGAACCTGTGACCATCTCACCCCCATACCAAGGCTCTATCCACTGCGCCACACGCCTCCTCTGAATACACTCTAAATACACAGTCTGAATACACACTCTGAATACACACTCTGAATAAAGTAATGTAAATACACAGAAAGTAGAAACAGTGCATGATATAATGAATACTCTCTACATGAATGTAATATTGTGTGTACTTTAAAGCAGTATAGTGTGTACTAGAAGTATTGTGTGTATTGTGTGTACCTTCGTCTCGGGTGTAATCCTCTCCTGAATGAGGCTCAAACATGTAATCTCCGGTTGCCAGCTCGAACGCCTGAACACAACAAATACATTTATACAGAAAAACAGGAATACATAAATACATTAAGTGTGTGTGTGTGTGTGTGTGTGTGTGTGTGTGTGTGTGTGTGTGTGTGTGTGTGTGTGTGTGTGTGTGTGTGTGTGTTACCATGCAGGCGATGCTCCAGATGTCAGCTGGTGGTCCGTATTCTGCTCCAATCAGAACCTCCAGAGCTCGGTACTGACGGGTCTGAATATCCTCTGTGAAGTGTTTGTGCTGAAAACACAGAGAGGCCTGTGATTGGCTGATACTGACAGAGAGGCCTGTGATTGGCTGATACTGACAGAGAGGCCTGTGATTGGCTGATACTGACAGAGAGGCCTGTGATTGGCTAATACTGACAGAGAAGCGAGTGATTGGCTGATACTGACAGAGAGGCCTGTGATTGGCTGATACTGACAGAGAGGCGAGTGATTGGCTGATACTGACAGAGAGGCGAGTGATTGGCTGATACTGACAAAGAGGCGAGTGATTGGCTGATACTGACAGAGAGGCGAGTGATTGGCTGATACTGACAGAGAGGCCTGTGATTGGCTAATACTGACAGAGAGGCCTGTGATTGGCTAATACTGACAGAGAGGCGAGTGATTGCTGATACTGACAGAGAGGCGAGTGATTGCTGATACTGACAGAGAGGCGAGTGATTGGCTGATACTGACAGAGAGGCGAGTGATTGGCTGATACTGACAGAGAGGGCGAGTGATTGGCTAATACTGACAGAGAAGCGAGTGATTGGCTGATACTGACCGAGAGGCCTGTGATTGGCTAATACTGACAGAGAGGCGAGTGATTGGCTGATACTGACAGAGAGGCCTGTGATTGGCTGATACTGACAGAGAGGCCTGTGATTGGCTGATACTGACAGAGAGGCCTTTGATTGGCTGATACTCACTACCCAGCATGCATTTCCCAGATCAGCGATCTTCACTCTCAGGCTGTGAGCATTGAGAGGATCCAGAGGACTGAGCATGAAGTCTGAGGTGCTGGAGACTGAGAGAAATACATATTATACAGATATATATATACAAAGTATGACAGGTATGTATATTTGTACTGCAGTGATATAAATAGTGGTGTGTGTATATATGTGTATTTGTACTGCAGTAATATAAATAGTGTGTGTGTTGTTATATGTGTATTTGTACTGCAGTAATATAAATAGTGTGTGTGTTGTTATATGTGTATTTGTACTGCAGTAATATAAATAGTGGTGTGTGAATATATGTGTATTTGTACTTCCTAGTAGTATAAGTACCGTCTCTCCCACTGGAGTACCCTGACTGAGAGGAGATTGCTGACTCGGACGTCGCTGACATCACAGAGCTGGAGAAGCCTGATTGGCCGGAGGCGGGGCTAGAGAACCGGCAGGGGGCGTGGTCATTAATCCTGTCGTCCAACCAGGAGCAGCTGCTCTCTGGGCTCGCCTTGCTATTGGCTATGGAGCAGGAAGTGTTGCCGTTGACGACAGGTAAGCCTGAGAGCAAAGCAGAAGTTTTCAGAGAGTGTATATGTAGTGTGTGTGTGTGTGTGTGTGTGTGTGTGTGTGTGTGTGTGTGTGTGTGTGTACGTGGTGTGTGTGTATCAGTGCATACTCACAGTTAGTGTGTGTGTGGTCAGGTTGTAACACACTGTCCTCTTCCTCCATCCTCTGGACACACACACACAGAGACACACACACATACACACACACACACACACACACACACACAAACATACTCCATGTTTAGGTCTGTTCGGGGACTTGAACCGGCGATCCTACGGCTCACAGTCCCTACTGACACTGCCGGACCAGTAGTATTACAGTAGTAGTATTACAGTAGAATAGTAGTATTACAGTAGTAGTATTACAGTAGAATAGTAGTATTACAGTAGTAGTATTACAGTAGAATAGTAGTATTACCATAGAAGTATAGTATTACAGTAGTAGTATTACAGTAGAATAGTAGTATTACAGTAGTAGTATTACAGTAGAATAGTAGTATTACAGTAGAAGTATTACAGTAGAATAGTAGTATTACCATAGAAGTATAGTATTACAGTAGAATAGTAGTAGAATCGTAGTATTACAGTAGAAGTATTACAGTAGAATAGTAGTATTACAGCAGAAGTATTACAGTAGAATAGTAGTATTACAGTAGTAGTATTACAGTAGAATAGTAGTATTACAGCAGAAGTATTACAGTAGAATAGTAGTATTACAGTAGAATAGTAGTATTACAGTAGAAGTATTACAGTATAATAGTAGTATTACAGTAGAATAGTAGTATTACAGTAGAATCGTAGTATTACAGTATAATAGTAGTATTACAGTAGAAGTATAATAGTAGTATTACAGTAGAATCGTAGTATTACAGTAGAAGTATTACAGTAGAATAGTTGTATTACAGTAGAATAGTAGTATTACAGCAGAATTATTACAGTAGAATAGTAGTATTACAGCAGAAGTATTACAGTAGAATAGTAGTATTACAGTAGTAGTATTACAGTAGAATAGTAGTATTACAGCAGAAGTATTACAGTAGAAGTATTACAGTAGAATAGTAGTATTACAGTAGTAGTATTACAGTAGAATAGTAGTATTAACAGCAGGAAATATTACAGTAGAATAGTAGTGTTACAGTAGTATTACAGTAGAATAGTAGTATTACAGTAGTAGTATTACAGTAGTAGTATTACTACAGTAGTAGTATATTATTACAGTAGTAGTATAGTATTACAGTAGTAGTAGTATTACAGCAGAAGTATTACAGTAGAATAGTAGTATTACAGCAGAAGTATTACAGTAGAATAGTAGTATTACAGTAGTAGTATTACAGTAGAATAGTAGTATTACAGCAGAAGTATTACAGTAGAAGTATTACAGTAGAATAGTAGTATTACAGTAGAATAGTAGTATTACAGCAGAAATATTACAGTAGAATAGTAGTATTACAGTAGTATTACAGTAGAATAGTAGTATTACAGTAGTAGTATTACAGTAGTAGTATTACTACAGTAGTAGTATATTATTACAGTAGTAGTATAGTATTACAGTAGTAGTAGTATTACAGCAGAAGTATTACAGTAGAATAGTAGTATTACAGTAGTAGTATTACAGTAGAATAGTAGTATTACAGCAGAAGTATTACAGTAGAAGTATTACAGTAGAATAGTAGTATTACAGCAGAAGTATTACAGTAGAATAGTAGTATTACAGTAGAAGTATTACAGTAGAATAGTAGTATTACAGCAGAAGTATTACAGTAGAATAGTAGTATTACAGCAGAAGTATTACAGTAGAATAGTAGTATTACAGTAGAAGTATTACAGTAGAATAGTAGTATTACAGTAGTAGTATTACAGTAGAATAGTAGTATTACAGCAGAAGTATTACAGTAGAAGTATTACAGTAGAATAGTAGTATTACAGTAGTAGTATTACAGTAGAATAGTAGTATTACAGTAGTAGTATTACAGTAGAATAGTAGTATTACAGTAGTATTACAGTAGAATAGTAGTATTACAGTAGAATAGTAGTATTACAGTAGTAGTATTACAGTAGTAGTATTACAGTAGAATAGTAGTATTACAGTAGAATAGTAGTATTACAGTAGTAGTATTACTACAGTAGTAGTATATTATTACAGTAGTAGTATAGTATTACAGTAGTAGTATAGTATTACAGTAGTAGTAGTATTACCTGTATGTTGTGCAGTCTCTCCTCCAGCAGTCTGTGTTCACGCTTTGCTTTCCTCTTCAACTTCTTCTTCTTGTTCTTAGACAGCCGACCATCCTACACACACACACACACACACACACACACACACACACACACACACACACACACACACACACACACACACACACACACACATCACACACACACACACACACACACACACACACACACACACAACACACACAGACACACACACAGGCATGCAGACAGACAGCTGTGTAGTTAGTGTATCATTTACACTCAGTCTTTATCACATGCACACACTCACACGCAGGGCCGCCCCTCCCTACAGGCAGATCACGCAGACTGCGTGGGGGCCCCACCTCGCGGAGGGGGCCTCATCTCGCGGAGGGAGCCTCATCTCGCGGAGGGGGCCTCATCTCGCGAAGGGAGCCTCAACTGAGCCTCAACTGAGCCGCAAATGCGGTTATGCGGCGCAATTAGTGTAGGTGCGGCACAGTTTCGCCGCTGCTCCACTAGCTTCCCCCCCCCACCCCCGTCGACGCTCGCGACACAGAGGGCCTCATCATATAACTTTGCGTGGGGCCACGGGGCGGCCCTGCTCTCACACACACACACACTCTCTCATTCACACACACTCTCTCATTCACACACACACACACACACACACACACACTCTCTCATTCACACACACACACACACACTCACTCACACACTCTCATTCACACACACAAACACACACACACACCTGACTCTTACCTGGTCGTCCCTAGGAGCCATACTAACTAGAGATAGAGACAGGTGGAGGCAGACAGACAGGGAGAGAGAGACAGGAAGATCACATGAGAAACTGGAAAAAAAGGAGGAAGAGAGACAGACAGGTGAAAGACAGACAGACAGGTGAGCCCTGTGTAGAAGGAGCGTAGAGGAGAAGGAGACAGCTTAGGAACTGACAGACAGACAGATAGACAGACAGATAGACAAGTAGATAGACAGGTAGATAGACAGGTAGACAGGTAGATAGACAGGTAGATAGACAAGTAGATAGACAGGTAGATAGACAGACAGATAGACAAGTAGATAGACAGGTAGATAGACAGGTAGATAGACAGGTAGATAGACAGACAGATAGACAAGTAGATAGACAGGTAGATAGACAGGTAGATAGACAGGTAGATAGACAGACAGATAGACAGACAGACAGATAGACAGATAGACAGACAGATAGACATGTAGATAGACAGACAGATAGACATTCGGATAGACAGGTAGATAGACAGGTAGATAGACAGACAGACAGATAGACAGATAGAGAGGTAGATAGACAGGTAGAGAGACAGGCAGATAGACAGGTAGATAGACAGACAGATAGACAGATAGACAGGTAGATAGACAGGCAGATAGACAGGTAGATAGACAGGCATATAGACAGGCAGATAGAGAGGTAGATAGACAGGTAGATAGACAGGCAGATAGACAGGTAGAGAGACAGGCAGATAGACAGGTAGATAGACAGGTAGATAGACAGGCAGATAGACAGACAGATAGAGAGGTAGATAGACAGGTAGATAGACAGGCAGATAGACAGGTAGATAGACAGGCAGATAGACAGGTAGAGAGACAGGCAGATAGACAGGTAGATAGACAGGTAGATAGACAAGTAGATAGACAGGCAGATAGACAGGCAGATAGAAAGGTAGAAATTAGTCCTGCATCTTATTTTCAAACAGAGAGACGGCTCATTAATATTCATAATACTCTGTTTTTGATTTTTGGTATGAGCCAATCAGTGACAAGTGTCTGTCTCTCTCTCCTGACCAATCACCTGAGGACCCTGAGGGTGGGGGGGGCTCCGGCTCTCTGCCAGTGTGTAGCTTCAGCAGCTAACCTGTCTCTCTCTCTCTCCTGACCAATCACCTGAGGACCCTGAAGGGGGCGGGCTCCGGCTCTCTGCCAGTTCGTAGCTTCAGCAGCTAACCTGTCTGTCTCTCTCTCTCCTGACCAATCACCTGAGGACCCTGAAGGGGGCGGGGCTCCGGCTCTCCGCCAGTGTGTAGCTTCAGCAGCTAACCTGTCTGTCTTTCTCTCTCCTGACCAATCACCTGAGGACCCTGAGGGTGGGGGGGGGGGCTCCGGCTCTCTGCCAGTGTGTAGCTTCAGCAGCTAACCTGTCTGTCTTTCTCTCTCCTGTCCAATCACCTGAGGACCCTGAGGGTGGGGGGGGGGGTTCCGGCTCTCTGCCAGTGTGTAGCTTCAGCAGCTAACCTGTCTCTCTCTCTCTCTCCTGTCCAATCACCTGAGGACCCTGAGGGGGGCGGGGCTCCGGCTCTCTGCCAGTGTGTAGCTTCAGCAGCTAACCTGTCTGTCTTTCTCTCCTGACCAATCACCTGAGGACCCTGAGGGTGGGGAGGGCTCCGGCTCTCTGCCAGTGTGTAGCTTCAGCAGCTAACCTGTCTGTCTCTCTCTCCTGACCAATCACCTGAGGACCCTGAGGGGGGCGGGGCTCCGGCTCTCTGCCAGTGTGTAGCTTCAGCAGCTAGGCGTCTCACATACAGCTCGTCCACCTGCAGCAGGATGTTCTCCGGCTTGATGTCCGTGTGGATGATCTTACACTTCCTGTGCAGGTAGTCCAGCCCCTGCAGCACCTGGGGGAGAGTGTGAGTGTGTGAGTGAGGTGTGTGTGTGTGTGAGTGAGAGTGTGTGTGTGTTGAGTGTGTGTGTGTGTGAGTGTGGAGTGAGTGAGTGAGTGAGTGAGTGTGTGTGTGTGTGAGTGTGTGTGTGTGTGAGTGAGTGAGTGAGTGCGTGCGTGAGTGAGTGTGTGTGTGTGAGTGTGTGTGTGTGTGTGTGTGTGTGTGTGTGTGTGTGTGTGTGTGTGTGTGTGTGTGAGTGTGTGAGTGAGTGAGTGAGTGTGTGTGTTACCTGTCTGATGATGCTCTTCACACACACCAGAGGAATCCCCATGTAGTTTGACTTAATGATCCACTTCAACAGCTGATGACCCAACACCTCCAGAACCATACACACATCTGAGAGTCAGCTGAGGAAAACAGGTGACTGACATTCAGGTAGAGAGACAGAGAGACAGACAGGCAGACAGACAGACAGACAGGTAGAGAGACAGAGAGACAGACAGGCACAGACAGGTGTAGGATACGGACTCCATTGACTCCGGAGATCTTGAAGTCGTCGATCAGCTGAACGATCGTCTCTCTGAACGGGTCGGAGGGGTCGCTGTCCCTCACCTATAACACAGACTCTTATTATGAAGGGCTGCCAGACTCTTATTGTGAAAGGGTGCGGCTGTAACACAGACTCTTATTGTGAAGGGCTGCCAGACTCTTATTGTGAAAGGGTGCGGCTGTAACACAGACTCTTATTGTGAAGGGCTGCCAGACTCTTATTGTGAAAGGGTGCGGCTGTAACACAGACTCTTATTGTGAAGGGCTGCCAGACTCTTATTGTGAAAGGGTGCGGCTGTAACACAGACTCTTATTGTGAAGGGCTGCCAGACTCTTATTGTGAAAGGGTGCGGCTGTAACACAGACTCTTATTGTGAAGGGCTGCCAGACTCTTATTGTGAAAGGGTGCGGCTGTAACACAGACTCTTACGGACCGTCCACACAGCAGCGTTAAAAAAGTCTTGGAAGGCTTCTGCCCATTCACTTTGAATGGGGTGACGTCACTTTCCCTCACTTTTCGCCGAAATGGATTGTGGGCAGGCGAGCGGAGATTTTCAGGATTTTGAGGATTCAAAGTTGAACAATGTTCAACTTTTGAGGCTGAGGTGGAAGCGTCAGCCAATCAAATCCCGTGTATGCAAATCTGACAGTTCAAGCTCTAGCCAATCAAACGGCGTGTAAGCTGGGAGAGACATACCGCCGGTCATTTCCTCATATTCCAAAACATGGAGGAGAAATGAGCGGTAGGGAATCACCCGGTGCTTTAGGACCAGTCCCTATTTACCTACCGGGATACAAACCGGAGGAGCCAGGCATGGAGGGAGGTGGCAGAGACAGTGGTAGCTTTTCTCCTGTTTGGGGAGTTTATATCCAGTTTACTTCAAACTTTTTTGCTTCGTATGTCGCGGGCGGGAGATTCATGTGATTGGTTGTTCGCAAAAAATCCCCAAGCTTCAGATACGCCGACCTCCAAGATTTTTTTAACGCTGCTGTGTGGACGGTCCGTTACGGCCCGTCCACACGTCCATCTTTGGAATATGAGGAAATGACCTGCGGTGTGTCTCTCCCAGCATACACGCGGTTCGATTGGCTAGCGCTTGTACTGGCAGATTTGCATAAACGGGATTTGATTGGCTGACGCTTCCACCGAAGCTTCAGAAGCTTCAAAAGTTGAACATTTCTGTGTGTGTGTGTGTGTCACTCACACATCTGAGGAGCTTGATCTCATCCACAGCTGTCTCTGTGTAATGTGGAGCGCTCTTCACCACCTTCAGCGCCACGAAGCGCTTCCTCCTGCACACAGACAGAGTCAGGGTGTGTATGCGTGTGTGTGTGTGTGTGTGTGTGTGTGTGTGTGTGTGTGTGTGTGTGTGTGTGTGTGTGTGTGTGTGTGTGTGTGTGTGTGTGTGTCGTACTGCAGATCCCAGCACAGCCACACTGTAGAGAAGTGTCCCCAGCCCAGTTTCCGGACCACATGGTAGCGTCCGTTGAACAGATCTCCGATCTGCACCGGGTAGTACCCTCCTAAACACAGGGGGGGGGGGGGGGGGTTATTAATCTACACACACTCCTTTAACATTAACCCTCCTCATGTATTTATTATTGGGGGGGGGGGTTATTAATCTACACACACACCTTATACCCTAACCCTCCTCAGGTATTTATTATGGGGCTCACCTTTGCAGTAGTCTGACGGATCCTCCTGCTCCTCATCATCAGAGCCCAGCAGCTGCACGGGAGGGGGCGTGGCTAACACTGGAGGGGGCGGAGTCAACACGGGAGGGGGCGGAGTCAACATGGGAGGGGGCGGAGTCAACACTGGAGGCATTGGGCTCCTGGCCAAATGGGGCGTGGTCATCTGTGTGGGGTCTGATGACATCACAGGAGGCGGGCCGATTAATAGGGGGGAGGGGCTTAGCGGAGGGGAGGGGGGTCAGGGGGGGGAGGGGCTTAGTGGAGGGGAGGGGGGGGGGCTGTAGCAGACGGCAGGTCAAAGGCATTGTGGGTAATAATATGCGGTAAGGCTGGACCTGTTCTGTGAGGGGACCGGAAGTAACTCTGGGTAAGATTCTGGTTCACAGGCACTGATTGGCTGGGGCTGTGGGCGGGGCTTCGAGGTGCGGCCCGAAAGGATTGGCTGAGGGTCTGAGGTGTGGGGGGGGGTGCCGTTCTGTAGGGGCGGCTGGGGGGGGGGCAGGTGTGTCTCTTCAGGGAGGGGGGCCAGGTGTGTCTCTTCAGGGGGGGGGGGGCAGACTCTGAAGGTCACAGAGGTCATCGGGCCTGAAACACAAACATCAGTTTTTACTACTACGGCTAAAGGCCCCTACACACCAATCTGACACCAAAGAGCACGTCCCGACGGACCAGGTGGAGGGATTATATCTCTACCTAGGACCAGGTACCTATATAGTGCTAACACTAGTAAAGGCTAACAGTGAGCACCGTGCTAACACTAGTGAAGGCTAGCAGTGAGCACCGTGCTAACACTAGTGAAGGCTAACAGTGAGCACCGTGCTAACACTAGTAAAGGCTAACAGTGAGCACTGTGCTAACACTAGTAAAGGCTAACAGTGAGCACCGTGCTAACACTAGTAAAGGCTAACAGTGAGCACCGTGCTAACACTAGTGAAGGCTAGCAGTGAGCACCGTGCTAACACTAGTGAAGGCTAACAGTGAGCACCGTGCTAACACTAGTAAAGGCTAACAGTGAGCACTGGGCTAACACTAGTAAAGGCTAGCAGTGAGCACCGTGCTAACACTAGTAAAGGCTAACAGTGAGCACCGTGCTAACACTAGTAAAGGCTAACAGTGAGCATCGAACACAGTCTCACGGCATTTCGTGTTATAGTCACAAAATGAATCTATTGACTCGTGTTCACCAACACGATTTCGCATTTTTTTTCGTGTCACACAGAACGATTTTAAAAGCAGTGTAAAGAATAACAAATTAGAAGGAAAAAAAGATTTAAAAAATACAGATGTCAGTATTCTGAGGCTCTGAGCCATGTCTTTTCCTCATGGACGGCAAAAAAACTCTGACATTATACAATTTAAAATAAAATGGATAGGGTTAGGCTTAGGGTAAGATATTGAGTAAGAACATGTTTTTATGAACCACACTTCCGGAATTCCAAGACCCGACCGGACAAAAAGACGTGTTGCAGGCACGAAACATACTACCAATAGAAATACATTGCTTTTAAACTCGTTCTGTGTGACACGAAAGAAATGCGAAAATCGTGTTGGCGAACACGAATCAATAGATTACATTAATTTCGTGACTATAACACGAAATACCGTGAGACTGGGTTGTCTCATCACAGATTTTTACTCCATGATAAATCACAGAAACTGAAAACTTTCATCTGTTTCCTGTCTCTCCATGACATCTGAGCCGCACGGAAATAGACTGATTGTGTGTGTGTGTGTGTGTGTGTGTGTGTGTGTGTGTGTGTGTGTGTGTGTGTGTGTGGGTGTGTGTGTGTGTGTGTGTGTATGTGTGTGTGTGTGTGTGTGTGTGTATGAATCACTCTGCTATTTGTGGAGCTGAGTCTCTCCCGGCTGAGCACCAAACCTGCTTCTGTCAGTAGGTCAGCAGTTAGCCTAGCATTACAGCTTAAAGACTGGAAGCAGGGGGAAACTATTAGCCTAGCTTAGCTTATATTTTATCATCATGTGTTCCTGAAGTGTCTTTATATTAATACAGTATAACATGTTACCATCATGTGTTCCTGAAGTGTCTTTATATTAATACAGTATAACATGTTACCATCATGTGTTCCTGAAGTGTCTTTATATGAATACAGTATAACATGTTATCATCATGTGTTCCTGAAGTGTCTTTATATTAATACAGTATAACATGTTACCATCATGTGTTCCTGAAGTGTCTTTATATTAATACAGTATAACATGTTATCATGTGTTCCTGAAGTGTCTTTATATTAATACAGTATAACATGTTATCGTCATGTGTTCCTGAAGTGTCTTTATATTAATACAGTATAACATGTTATCATCATGTGTTCCTGAAGTGTCTTTATATTAATACAGTATAACATGTTATCATCATGTGTTCCTGAAGTGTTTTTATATTAATACAGTATAACATGTTATCATCATGTGTTCCTCAAGTGTTTTTATATTAATACAGTATAACATGTTATCGTCATGTGTTCCTGAAGTGTCTTTATATTAATACAGTATAACATGTTATCATCATGTGTTCCTGAAGTGTCTTTATATTAATACAGTATAACATGTTACCATCATGTGTTCCTGAAGTGTCTTTATATTAATACAGTATAGCATGTTATCGTCATGTGTTCCTGAAGTGTTTTTATATTAATACAGTATAACATGTTAACATCATGTGTTCCTGAAGTGTCTTTATATTAATACAGTATAGCATGTTATCGTCATGTGTTCCTGAAGTGTTTTTATATTAATACAGTATAACATGTTATCGTCATGTGTTCCTGAAGTGTTTTTATATTAATACAGTATAACATGTTAACATCATGTGTTCCTGAAGAGTGTTTATATTAATACAGTATAACATGTTAACATCATGTGTTCCTGAAGTGTCTTTATATTAATACAGTATAACATGTTATCATCATGTGTTCCTGAAGTGTTTTTATATTAATACAGTATAACATGTTATCATCATGTGTTCCTCAAGTGTTTTTATATTAATACAGTATAACATGTTACCATCATGTGTTCCTGAAGTGTCTTTATATTAATACAGTATAACATGTTACAATCATGTGTTCCTGAAGTGTTTTTATATTAATACAGTATAACATGTTATCATCATGTGTTCCTCAAGTGTTTTTATATTAATACAGTATAACATGTTATCATCATGTGTTCCTGAAGTGTCTTTATATGAATACAGTATAACATGTTAACATCATGTGTTCCTGAAGTGTCTTTATATTAATACAGTATAACATGTTATCATCATGTGTTCCTCAAGTGTGTATATTAATACAGTATAACATGTTATCATCATGTGTTCCTGAAGTGTCTTTATATTAATACAGTATAACATGTTATCATCATGTGTTCCTGAAGTGTCTTTATATTAATACAGTATAACATGTTATCATCATGTGTTCCTGAAGTGTCTTTATATGAATACAGTATAACATGTTATCATCATGTGTTCCTGAAGTGTCTTTATATGAATACAGTAGAACATGTTATCATCATGTGTTCCTGGGGGAAACTATTAGCCTAGCTTAGCATAAAGACTGGAAGCAGAGGAACCTATTAGCCTAGCTTAGCATACAGACTGGAAGCAGAGGGAAACTATTAGCCTAGCTTAGCATACACACTGGAAGCAGGGGGAAACTGTTAGCCTAGCTTAGCATACAGACTGGAAGCAGGGGGAAACTGTTAGCCTAGCTTAGCATACAGACTGGAAGCAGGGGGAACCTCTCCATCACCTGATCTAAACAAAGACTAATCCAGCAAACAGGATGAAATTATTTTTAAAATGTGGACATAAGATATATTTATATAAGTCTCACCAACTGCGTCAAACTGAGAGACACCCCATAATAATCTGCTACAGATTCATGTTCTCAGAGAAGACTTCATTAACCCTCCTGCAGCAGATATCAGAGGGTCATTCACCTCGCTCATATTTAATTATAAAACATGATGACTGAGCGCTGTCCTCTAACGAGACTCTGAGACACACCGCTTCTGATTTACTCCGTTACTCTGACTCCTTAAACAAACTCTGTAAACTGGAGCTTGTGTGTATGTGTGTGTGTGTGTGTGTGTGTGTGTGTGTGTGTGTGTGTGTGTGTGTGTGTGTGTGTGTGTGTGTGTGTGTGTGTGTGTGTGTGTGTGTTACCGGGGCTCCCCAGCTCGTGTTCTCCGGTGCTTCTTCCCTCTCCTCCGGTGTTTCTTGCCGCTGGCCGCCGCGTGTCCGGATCCTGCGGAGACGGCTGAGAGACGAGTCATTTAAGTGTACATCATGTGTCTTTATATTAATACCATCTCTAACATGTTATCATCATGTGTTCCTGAAGTGTCTTTATATTAATACAGTATAACATGTTACCATCATGTGTTCCTGAAGTGTCTTTATATTAATACAGTATAACATGTTACGATCATGTGTTCCTGAAGTGTCTTTATATTAATACAGTATAACATGTTACGATCATGTGTTCCTGAAGTGTCTTTATATTAATACAGTATAACATGTTATCATCATGTGTTCCTGAAGTGTCTTTATATTAATACAGTATAACATGTTACGATCATGTGTTCCTGAAGTGTCTTTATATTAATACAGTATAACATGTTATCATCATGTGTTCCTGAAGTGTCTTTATATGAATACAGTATAACATGTTATCATCATGTGTTCCTGAAGTGTCTTTATATGATAAGTATAACATGTTATCATCGTGTGTTCCTGAAGTGTCTTTATATTAATACAGTATAACATGTTATCATCGTGTGTTCCTGAAGTGTCTTTATATTAATACAGTATAACATGTTATCATCGTGTGTTCCTGAAGTGTCTTTATATTAATACAGTATAACATGTTATCATCGTGCGTTCCTGAAGTGTCTTTATATTAATACAGTATAACATGTTATCATCGTGTGTTCCTGAAGTGTCTTTTTATGAATACAGTATAACATGTTATCATCGTGTGTTCCTGAAGTGTCTTTATATGAATACAGTATAACATGTTATCATGTGTTCCTGAAGTGTCTTTATATTAATACAGTATAACATGTTACCATCATGTGTTCCTGAAGTGTCTTTATATTAATACAGTATAACATGTTACCATCATGTGTTCCTGAAGTGTCTTTATATTAATACAGTATAACATGTTATCATCGTGTGTTCCTGAAGTGTCTTTATATGAATACAGTATAACATGTTATCATCGTGTGTTCCTGAAGTGTCTTTATATTAATACAGTATAACATGTTATCATCATGTGTTCCTGAAGTGTCTTTATATTAATACAGTATAACATGTTATCATCATGTGTTCCTGAAGTGTCTTTATATTAATACAGTATAACATGTTATCATCGTGTGTTCCTGAAGTGTCTTTATATGAATACAGTATAACATGTTATCATGTGTTCCTGAAGTGTCTTTATATTAATACAGTATAACATGTTACCATCATGTGTTCCTGAAGTGTCTTTATATTAATACAGTATAACATGTTACCATCGTGTGTTCCTGAAGTGTCTTTATATTAATACAGTATAACATGTTATCATCGTGTGTTCCTGAAGTGTCTTTATATGAATACAGTATAACATGTTATCATCGTGTGTTCCTGAAGTGTCTTTATATTAATACAGTATAACATGTTATCATCATGTGTTCCTGAAGTGTCTTTATATTAATACAGTATAACATGTTACGATCATGTGTTCCTGAAGTGTCTTTATATTAATACAGTATAACATGTTACGATCATGTGTTCCTGAAGTGTCTTTATATTAATACAGTATAACATGTTATCATCATGTGTTCCTGAAGTGTCTTTATATTAATACAGTATAACATGTTACCATCATGTGTTCCTGAAGTGTCTTTATATTAATACAGTATAACATGTTATCATCATGTGTTCCTGAAGTGTCTTTATATGAATACAGTATAACATGTTATCATCATGTGTTCCTGAAGTGTCTTTATATGAATACAGTATAACATGTTATCATCATGTGTTCCTGAAGTGTCTTTATATGAATACAGTATAACATGTTATCATCGTGTGTTCCTGAAGTGTCTTTATATTAATACAGTATAACATGTTATCATCGTGTGTTCCTGAAGTGTCTTTATATTAATACAGTATAACATGTTATCATCGTGTGTTCCTGAAGTGTCTTTATATTAATACAGTATAACATGTTATCATCGTGTGTTCCTGAAGTGTCTTTATATTAATACAGTATAACATGTTATCATCGTGTGTTCCTGAAGTGTCTTTTTATTAATACAGTATAACATGTTATCATCGTGTGTTCCTGAAGTGTCTTTATATGAATACAGTATAACATGTTATCATGTGTTCCTGAAGTGTCTTTATATTAATACAGTATAACATGTTACCATCATGTGTTCCTGAAGTGTCTTTATATTAATACAGTATAACATGTTACCATCATGTGTTCCTGAAGTGTCTTTATATTAATACAGTATAACATGTTATCATCATGTGTTCCTGAAGTGTCTTTATATGAATACAGTATAACATGTTATCATCGTGTGTTCCTGAAGTGTCTTTATATTAATACAGTATAACATGTTATCATCATGTGTTCCTGAAGTGTCTTTATATTAATACAGTATAACATGTTATCATCATGTGTTCCTGAAGTGTCTTTATATTAATACAGTATAACATGTTATCATCGTGTGTTCCTGAAGTGTCTTTATATTAATACAGTATAACATGTTATCATCATGTGTTCCTGAAGTGTCTTTATATTAATACAGTATAACATGTTACCATCATGTGTTCCTGAAGTGTCTTTATATTAATACAGTATAACATGTTATTATCATGTGTTCCTGAAGTGTCTTTATATTAATACAGTATAACATGTTATCATCATGTGTTCCTGAAGTGTCTTTATATTAATACAGTATAACATGTTATCATCATGTGTTCCTGAAGTGTCTTTATATTAATACAGTATAACATGTTGTCATCATGTGTTCCTGAAGTGTCTTTATATTAATACAGTATAACATGTTATCATCATGTGTTCCTGAAGTGTCTTTATATTAATACAGTATAACATGTTATCATCGTGTGTTCCTCAAGTGTTTTTATATTAATACAGTATAACATGTTATCATCATGTGTTCCTGAAGTGTCTTTATATTAATACAGTATAACATGTTATCATCATGTGTTCCTGAAGTGTCTTTATATTAATACAGTATAACATGTTATCATCATGTGTTCCTCAAGTGTTTTTATATTAATACAGTATAACATGTTATCATCATGTGTTCCTGAAGTGTGTATATGAATACAGTATAACATGTTATCATCATGTGTTCCTGAAGTGTGTATATTAATACAGTATAACATGTTATCATCATGTGTTCCTGAAGTGTGTATATTAATACAGTATAACATGTTATCATCATGTGTTCCTGAAGTGTCTTTATATTAATACAGTATAACATGTTATCATCATGTGTTCCTGAAGTGTCTTTATATTAATACAGTATAACATGTTATCATCATGTGTTCCTCAAGTGTTTTTATATTAATACAGTATAACATGTTATCATCATGTGTTCCTGAAGTGTGTATATGAATACAGTATAACATGTTATCATCATGTGTTCCTGAAGTGTGTATATTAATACAGTATAACATGTTATCATCATGTATTCCTGAAGTGTGTATATTAATACAGTATAACATGTTATCATCATGTGTTCCTGAAGTGTGTATATTAATACAGTATAACATGTTATCATCATGTGTTCCTGAAGTGTGTATATTAATACAGTATAACATGTTATCATCATGTGTTCCTGAAGTGTGTATATTAATACAGTATAACATGTTATCATCATGTGTTCCTGAAGTGTGTATATTAATACAGTATAAGTAACATGTTATTAACTCAGGTGCTGTGGGGGTCCAGCAGGACCACAGACATGTGTAGATGTTTACATAATGAAGAACCTACCTATCAACATGCTGCTCCGGTGCTCCGTGTCTCTGACAGTGTGTAGCTTCAGCTTCTCTCTCGCTTCTCTCGCTTCTCTCGCTTCTCTCTCGGTACTCTCTGCTTCTCTCTCGGGTCTCTCTGCTTCTCTCTCGGTTCTCTCTCGGTTCTCTCTCAGTGAGGTGGACCCGGTCCCGTTACTGTTACTGTTAGCCTGTTAGCTTTAGCCTGTCAGACAACAGCTGATGGGATGACGTCAAGTTAGCCTTTTAGCTCCGTTAGCTCCAGCTGCAGATCAGCGGCTCTCCTGCAGTCACACTGTGTGTCCCGGGTCTGTTTACCGGGTCAGTGAACCGGGTCAGTACCAGGTGTGTCCCGGGTCAGTGACAGGACGGTACCGGGTCAGTACCGGGTCTGTAGTCCGGGTAACGGTCCGGTTCCTCTGTGTCCTCGCGGCTCTCAGCAGCTGCTGGCAGACACCGGACACCGGGCTCTGCGCATGCGCAGTGAAGGGCCATGCTGAGCATGAGACTGGACTGAAAGACCTTTATAATACCTTCATATTTAATAACTTCATATATACTATAATACCTTCATATATACTATAATACCTTCATATATAATATAATACCTTCATATATACTATAATACCTTCATATATACTATAATACCTTCATATATAATATCTTTATATATAATACCTTCATATATACCACTATACTACCTCAGTGCATGACATTAAGGATGGCCCTGTGGGCCATCTAAGCTAATTTACAGATGGCCCTGAGCCCAATAGAGATTGCCCTGAAAAATGCGCGCGGACGAAATGACGCACGAAGGGTTTGGGGGGCCTCCCCCTAGAACATTTAGATTTGTGCAGGTCTTAGATGCTGTCTGGTGCATTCTCTAGACTGAATTATAAGATGAACCACCACAATATTATATTGTACAATTTCAATTGTATTCTTCATTTCACTTGTTTGTTTGAATGAGTTCTTGTTTGTGTTTGCTCGCGTGCATGCCCTGCATAGCTATAAGAAATACTTAAGTAATGTGGTTGCATTCGATTCATTGTCCGGGTAGTATTCATTGTATAGAAATCGTATTGACCGGGCCAGCCCGAACATCGCGAAGTTGGTCGAACGAATGCCTCCTCATCCGGAAGCTAACCGAGCAGACCCGAGCAGCAGTCGAGAGGAGCCGAGCGCATCCGCGAAGCACACAAAATGGCGACGTCCATGAAGAAAGACGGGTTGACCGACTTTTGGCAACTTCTTCATCGTTTTCCAACCGATTTGACCGATGTCAGGCACTGACACCAGAGTTCCCGTTAGAATATTTTTTTGCCGGTCAACATGTCCGTTAAAGTTGAAATCTTCCGGACAAAATTAGAAAAGTGCCGGTCAGACGTCTTCTTTGTTATTTATTGAGCTTTAAAACAAATTGATATGATTCGATATTAAACAAACTAATTATAGTAGATTAACTACATTATTCAAAAGTGTACAGTAACTTATAACACGGGAATAATAAACGGAGCGCTCTCTCTCTCTCCTGACAGCCCGTCAGTATCATGCAGCAGCTGATCCAGTTTTGTTTTATTGTGTTTTTATTGTGTCTTAATTATGCTCTGGTGCTTTTATGACTTCTTAACATGGGGGTTTATTGATCATCCAAGCCTATGTGGATGTCTTATTGTTTTGTCAAGCACTTTGTGACTTTGTCTCTGAAAAGCGCTTTATAAATAAACTTTACTTACTTTACTTACTTAATGAGTGACCTGACAGTAAAACTAAACATATCTATAACTAGTTCAGGTAGTTTGAGAGGTCATTCAAATAGCTACATGTGATATTCTAACCTGAAGTGTGTGTTCTGCTCACCGCTGCAGGTGATCATGCAGAGCTGCGTGTCGACTCGTCAGCAGCAGCTGATCTCTCTCCCGTCAGATTAGACTCGTGTTTATGTCCATATCGATCAGATCTAGCTAGTTCTAGCTAATGATATGACTACCTGCTTATCAAAAGACACCTAAACAATAAGCGTTGCTATGCAACCGGGTGAGGCCACAAAGTATAGCGCAGCATTATGCATTTGTTTACATGCCCACCGGAACCCCGAGGCATTACCAACAGATCAACGCACAATCAACCCATACAGGACATCTCTTTCTCCACGTGTTAGACATTAGAATGACTCTTCTTGTCTGTCACGTACTCTTCTTGTCTGTCACAGACTCTTCTTGTCTGTCACATACTCTTCTTGTCTGTCACAGACTCTTCTTGTCTGTCACGTACTCTTCTTGTCTGTCACAGACTCTTCTTGTCTGTCACGTACTCTTCTTGTCTGTCACAGACTCTTCTTGTCTGTCACATACTCTTCTTGTCTGTCACAGACTCTTCTTGTCTGTCACGTACTCTTCTTGTCTGTCACATACTCTTCTTGTCTGTCACATACTCTTCTTGTCTGTCACAGACTCTTCTTGTCTGTCACGTACTCTTCTTGTCTGTCACATACTCTTCTTGTCTGTCACATACTCTTCTTGTCTGTCACAGACTCTTCTTGTCTGTCACGTACTCTTCTTGTCTGTCACATACTCTTCTTGTCTGTCACAGACTCTTCTTGTCTGTCACGTACTCTTCTTGTCTGTCACAGACTCTTCTTGTCTGTCACGTACTCTTCTTGTCTGTCACATACTCTTCTTGTCTGTCACAGACTCTTCTTGTCTGTCACGTACTCTTCTTGTCTGTCACGTACTCTTCTTGTCTGTCACGTACTCTTCTTGTCTGTCACAGACTCTTCTTGTCTGTCACGTACTCTTCTTGTCTGTCACGTACTCTTCTTGTCTGTCACAGACTCTTCTTGTCTGTCACGTACTCTTCTTGTCTGTCACGTACTCTTCTTGTCTGTCACATACTCTTCTTGTCTGTCACAGACTCTTCTTGTCTGTCACGTACTCTTCTTGTCTGTCACAGACTCTTCTTGTCTGTCACGTACTCTTCTTGTCTGTCACGTACTCTTCTTGTCTGTCACATACTCTTCTTGTCTGTCACGTACTCTTCTTGTCTGTCACGTACTCTTCTTGTCTGTCACGTACTCTTCTTGTCTGTCACGTACTCTTCTTGTCTGTCACGTACTCTTCTTGTCTGTCACGTACTCTTCTTGTCTGTCACGTACTCTTCTTGTCTGTCACGTACTCTTCTTGTCTGTCACATACTCTTCTTGTCTGTCACATAAGTGGCGCAACTGATGCGGTATTGTGCTAAGGCAAAATTATTTTGACCGGACATTTTGACCAGAGAGATTTAGATTTGCCGGTCTTCAGCATATTTTACCGGTCATAGTCCGGTAATTACCGGCTAACGGGAACTCTGACTGACACGTCTCCACAATTGCCATAATAGATTGCCCGATCGGGCAACCAGCAGGTGAGGCTTCATTGCCCGAGCTAAATACTAGATTGCCTCGGGCCATCGGGCAGTCGTTAATGTCGAGCCCTGTACCTTCATATATACTATAATACCTTCATATATACTATAATACCTTCATATATACTATAATACCTTCACAGACAGCCTTTGGACGAGCCCCCATATGTTACGACCACAGCCTCTACTCCGCTGTAGTGCCACGCGCTGAGACACGCAACATACCTCAAAGTGATTTAAAGCCAGGACCATAGTCAGTGCCTTCTTTTCGATGGTGGAATACCCCCGCTGGTGGCGATTGCATTTCTTGAAGAAGTATGACACAGGGTGCTCCACTCCACGATCAGTTCAACTACGTCTGCACGCTGCACATCAGGCAAATGTGCTAGACGAGACTCAATATCCATCAGAATTTCTGAGTTTCGCAGCCTCCCCTGTAACACCGCATTAGATTGAACAACAATATCCTCATCCCCCTCCGCAATGACCTGGGCCTCAAAGGTGGCAGGTCTGTCACTTTCAGCACTGGACAGCGCCACTACACAGGCAGCGACAGATTTATTAACCCCAAGGTGGCCAGCAAGCTGATGATCATGAGCCAAACTTAAGATATCACAGCGATATTTCGACGGGACCACCACCTGGGGAGGGTCACTGATTGGTATGTCTAATTCTGTAGCCCTAAAACTGTCAAACAGATCAACATCATCGCTAACCTCAACTCCACACTTGGACTTGGCGCGGGTGACTGCACAGCCGGAAAATACATCAGGGTACACTTGGACCCGTTTATCTGGATACACCACCACAGGAACCGCAGTCACCTCTGGCTTAACGAGCACTCTGCCACCGGCTAAATCATTCCCAAAGATCAAATCTACCCCCTCAATCGGAAAACATAGCCGAACCCCGACAATAACCGGACCTGTGACTAGATCTGACTCAAGGTGAATATTATGCAAGGGCGAACCTACATACTGCATCCCAAACCCCCTCACAAGAACACCTGAACCTACATACTGCATCCCAAACCCCCTCACAAGAACACCTGAACCTACATACTGCATCCCAAACCCCCTCACAAGAACACCTGAACCTACATACTGCATCCCAAACCCCCTCACAAGAACACCTGAACCTACATACTGCATCCCAAACCCCCTCACAAGAACACCGGAACCTACATACTGCATCCCAAACCCCCTCACAAGAACACCGGAACCTACATACTGCATCCCAAACCCCCTCACAAGAACACCGGAACCTACATACTGCATCCCAAACCCCCTCACAAGAACACCGGAACCTACATACTGCATCCCAAACCCCCTCACAAGAACACCGGAACCTACATACTGCATACCAAACCCCCTCACAAGAACACTGGAACCTACATACTGCATACCAAATCCCCTCACAAGAACACCTGAACCTACATACTGCATCCCAAACCCCCTCACAAGAACACCGGAACCTACATACTGCATCCCAAACCCCCTCACAAGAACACCGGAACCTACATACTGCATACCAAACCCCCTCACAAGAACACCGGAACCTACATACTGCATCCCAAACCCCCTCACAAGAACACCTGAACCTACATACTGCATACCAAACCCCCTCACAAGAACACCTGAACCTACATACTGCATCCCAAACCCCCTCACAAGAACACCGGAACCTACATACTGCATACCAAACCCCCTCACAAGAACACCGGAACCTACATACTGCATCCCAAACCCCCTCACAAGAACACCTGAACCTACATACTGCATACCAAACCCCCTCACAAGAACACCTGAACCTACATACTGCATACCAAACCCCCTCACAAGAACACCGGAACCTACATACTGCATACCAAACCCCCCTCACAAGAACACCGGAACCTACATACTGCATACCAAACCCCCTCACAAGAACACCGGAACCTACATACTGCATACCAAACCCCCTCACAAGAACACCGGAACCTACATACTGCATACCAAACCCCCTCACAAGAACACCGGAACCTACATACTGCATACCAAACCCCCTCACAAGAACACCTGAACCTACATACTGCATACCAAACCCCCTCACAAGAACACCTGAACCTACATACTGCATCCCAAACCACCTCACAAGAACACCTGAACCTACATACTGCGTACTGTAACCAGTACCTAGTAACCAGCACTTAGTAACCAGCACTTAGTAACCAGTACCTAGTAACCAGCACTTAGTAACCAGCACTTAGTAACCAGCACTTAGTAACCAGCACTTAGTAACCAGCACTTAGTAACCAGCACTTAGTAACCAGCACTTAGTAACCAGCACTTAGTAACCAGTACCTAGTAACCAGCACTTAGTAACCAGCACTTAGTAACCAGCACTTAGTAACCAGCACTTAGTAACCAGTACCTAGTAACCAGCACTTAGTAACCAGCACTTAGTAACCAGCACTTAGTAACCAGCACTTAGTAACCAGCACTTAGTAACCAGCACTTAGTAACCAGCACTTAGTAACCAGTACTTATTGAGCCGTTTTATTATAAAAGGCCAAACGGGAAAGAAGGTCTGGAGGACTGGCCAAAAAGAACAAAAGGAAGGAGGGAGCCCGAGCCAGCCACACCAGGGGCCGTAGGACCCAGAGCTCCCCCCCCCCCCCCAACCAAAAGTCAAGCGTAAACCCTATGGGAACAAAATAAAGCCGCGAAAACTGGACTACCAGGTCCTCCAGGCTAAACATAAACACATCCACAACATACACAATTTATCTCAAACCCCACTACATAACAAAGGGTCTTTAAAGGAGAGGGTCTTCCGGCGTCAGGAGAGGCTTATCTCAAACCCCACTACCTAACAAAGGGTCTTTAAAGGAGAGGGTCTCCCGGCGTCAGGAGAGGCTTAGCTCAAACCCCACTACATAACAAAGGGTCTTTAAAGGAGAGGGTCTCCCGGCGTCAGGAAAGGCTTAGCTCAAACCCCACTACATAACAAAGGGTCTTTAAAGGAGAGGATCTCCCGGCGTCAGGAGAGGCTTAGCTCAAACCCCACTACATAACAAAGGGTCTTTAAAGGAGAGGGTCTCCCGGCGTCAGGAGAGGCGCGAGATCCTTCTCCTCCAGCTTCTCTTTATATATCCACGACTGAGTGGAATTTGGAACACCTGGGCAGGGGCGGAGCCAGGGACAGACCAGGTGCACCTGGGCAGAGGCGGAGCCAGGGACAGACCAGGTGCACCTGGGCAGGGGCGGAGCCAGGGACAGACCAGGTGCACCTGGGCAGAGGCGGAGCCAGGGACAGACCAGGTGCACCTGGGCAGGGGCGGAGCCAGGGACAGACCAGGTGCACCTGGGCAGGGGCGGAGCCAGGGGCAGACCAGGTGCACCTGGGCAGGGGCGGAGCCAGGGACAGACCAGGTGCACCTGGGCAGAGGCGGAGCCAGGGACAGACCAGGTGCACCTGGGCAGGGGCGGAGCCAGGGACAGACCAGGTGCACCTGGGCAGGGGCGGAGCCAGGGACAGACCAGGTGCACCTGGGCAGGGGCGGAGCCAGGGACAGACCAGGTGCACCTGGGCAGGGGCGGAGCCAGGGACAGACCAGGGTTGCGGTCGGATAACCCAAAAATCAGCTCCTATCGTCTAACCCTATCGTCTATCCCTTGACCTCTGAGTGAAAGGTCACGGGGTTAAGGGATAGTGGATAGGAGAATTCAAAAGGACTTAGGAGAAGAGACTGCGGTACTTTAGAGAATCGACTGCACTTTCACTATCCGACGTGTTTATGATGCGCCAGCGGACGTCATGAATGTGCGCCTGCTGCTGTGGGGAAACTATGGAAACTACAGTTTTCTATACAGCGGACTACAACATGGATGTTTAATAAGAACGAGGGACTACTGTAAACTCATCTAGAGACTCTGCACCGTGCTCTGATGCTGTTATGCTTTATGAACGGGGACAACAGAGAAACATATTCTTCATGACCAAAGTTGGAATTGAAATAAAAAAGGAAAGTGAAACTTATGCTCGTCACCCTCTCCCTCCGGTCCACATTAATACAAATGATCCCAATACGTATGATTGTATGAAAAGATCTTAAAATCAATACAAATGTATTTATTATAAACGTTAGTCCTTAACATCTATCACTGTGTATATCACCATTCAAACATCTTTTCAAAGTTGAACAAACCCCACACAGCTCAGTAAAGACTGTGAAATGTTGACTTTATTTGATCATTTCAGTAAAAAACTAACGTTCATATTTCTCTTTTTGATTATAATACTGATGAACGTTCAAAACAAAGCACTTTGGCAACTTACCACATACGTTTTAAAATGCTTAATAAGCACCGTAACTTTCATGATATCATTTCTCCGTCATAATCGGTTGTTTCCGTGAACGGCCGACTGTTGTGGGGCAGCATGTTCTCCTCTCCTTTAGGTGAGGGAGGTCCAGTGGTTCCTAAGCTAAAGGAGGCTATAAAGGAAGTTTGAAACCTCCTTTCCTTTCATCTAGAGAATTGGAACGGCACTTATCATAGCTGCCACTGAGGGACTTCCGGGTCATTTCTCTCCGTTAGGAAGGTTCCTAAGCTAAATGGACTATTCGACTTCAGCCCAGGTGCACCTGCGCAGCAGGGAGACAGAAAGACAACAAGGAGGGGAGCACGTGACAACTATAATACCTTTATCTATACATTCTATAATATCTTAACAATAACAAACAATAATTTAAAGATGTTCTCTAATTTATTCAGAATAAATATACTATATATAGGTTATATATAAATATATATATAAATCACATGACCACAGAAAACTGTTAAAATTATAACTTTATTTTTACAAACGGTTCGGCCTCCTGCCGTCTCAGACTCAGATCTGCAGGTATTTACACACGGATAGCAACCTGTTAGCAACCTGTTAGCAACCTGTTAGCAGACTGTACACACTCTGCTGATACACACTCTGTGCTGATACACACTCTGTGCTGATACACACTCTGCTGATACACACTCTGTGCTGATACACACTCTGCTGATACACACACACTTTATTCCCTTGTAGAAAACGCTCGGTAACAAACAGGCTTCTTGACGTCCAGACTAAAAAACTGTACAGAGATCAGTAGGTCTCCATCATCCTCATCATCTTCTTCATCATCACACGCATGCGGAGTACTACAACTACGGGTCAAACACAGGCTCAAAAAACACGCAAGGCAGAACACAGAGGAGATATTAAACAGCGATAACCATCAGAAATATATCAGAGGTATTATAAGAAGAAAAGCAGGAAGATCATTCAGAAAACGCCTCGTCTGTTTCAGACCAGCAGACAGGCTGTCATATTGCCTTAGAGCGGGGTCAGTCCATTACACTGAAAGCATCCAGGAAGTACCCTGTGCCAGAGTCCAGGAAGTACCCTGTACCACATAGTCCAGGAAGTACCCTGTACCAGAGTCCAGGAAGTTCACTGTACCACAGAGTCCAGGAAGTACCCTGTGCCAGAGTCCAGGAAGTACCCTGTACCACAGAGTCCAGGAAGTAGCCTGTAACAGAGTCCAGGAAGTACCCTGTACCAGAGTCCAGGAAGTACCCTGTAACAGAGTCCAGGAAGTACCCTGTGCCAGAGTCCAGGAAGTACCCTGTACCACAGAGTCCAGGAAGTACCCTGTAACAGAGTCCAGGAAGTACCCTGTACCAGAGTCCAGGAAGTACCCTGTAACAGAGTCCAGGAAGTACCCTGTAACAGAGTCCAGGAAGTACCCTGTAACAGAGTCCAGGAAGTTCACTGTACCACAGAGTCCAGGAAGTACCCTGTGCCAGAGTCCAGGAAGTACCCTGTAACAGAGTCCAGGAAGGTTATGGCTAGAAAGGATCCGTCTTGTGTAAATATGACGTCACGTTCTCGTTGTAACTCTCGTTGTAATCGGAGCGGCTCGGAAACACATCTACAGCAGTGACATGCAACATACACATTAATGCAGCAGCAATATTAATAGAGAAACATCAGACATAATAGTAAAACACTGAAAGGGAACATTTTATTGCACCAGGAGCCATCTTGGGACTTTTACTGCGACAACGTTGACTTGCCTGTGAATAAAAAATAAACCATAGTGTTGGTGATCTACAGTGTTGTCATTCTTCTTTGAACAGCAAGACCGCTAACATCCTATTTCAACAATCACACTCCCTGTAATTTACATAATTAATAGATAGTTTAGCTTCTCACCATCATTTGCTGTGGCCCACTGATGTTAACGATCGTAACTGAAAGGCTGCCTGCCAAACGTAAACATTCAGCCACGTGACTTGCAAACTCTCGCGAGAGTTTTACACAAGACGGGTCCTTTCTAGCCATAACCGTCCAGGAAGTACCCTGTACCACAGAGTCCAGGGAGTACCCTGTTCAAGAGATGCTAGTTGTATTGTGCTGCTAGCCGTCAGTAGCTAACTGTCAGTAGCTAACTGTCAGTAGCTGGCCGTCAGTAGCTAGTCGTCAGTAGCTAACCATCAGTAGCTAACCATCAGTAGCTAACTGTCAGTAACTAGCCGTCAGTAGCTAGCAGTCAGTAGCTAGCCGTCAGTAGCTAACTGTCAGTAGTTAGCAGTCAGTAGCTAGCCGTCAGTAGCTAGCCGTCAGTAGCTAACCGTCAGTAGCTAGCCATCAGTAGCTAGCCCTCAGTAGCTAACTGTCAGTAACTAGCCGTCAGTAGCTAGCCCTCAGTAGCTAACTGTCAGTAACTAGCCGTCAGTAGCTAGCCGTCAGTAGCTAGCCGTTAGTAGCTAGCCCTCAGTAGCTAACTGTCAGTAACTAACCGTCAGTAGCTAGTCGTCAGTAGCTAACTGTCAGTAACTAGCCGTCAGTAGCTAGCCGTCAGTAGCTAGCCCTCAGTAGCTAACTGTCAGTAACTAGCCGTCAGTAGCTAGCCGTCAGTAGCTAGCCCTCAGTAGCTAACTGTCAGTAACTAGCCGTCAGTAGCTAGCCGTCAGTAGCTAATTGTCAGTAACTAGCCGTCAGTAGCTAGCCGTCAGTAGCTAGCTGTCAGTAGTTTTTAGTTTTTTATTTCACGTTGATTTTCCTGAGCTCGATCAGGTGCGTTTAGATTGTGTTTGTTATTGTAGCGTAATGCTATGCTAGCTGTACTTTCACAATATGAGTAAAACAATACAATGAATTTATCTTCCCATGATGCAACAGGACACACAATGAGAGACAGACAGCGCCACCTAGCTGCAGAGTGAAGGCACAGCAGGGATAAATAGGTATAAATAGGACTTACAGTATGTACATGTAATAAGTTAGTAACTAGCTAACACACACACACACACACACACACGCACACACACACACACACACACACGCACGCACACACACGCGAACACACTCCCCACGTTTCAAGATTGTTTTACTGTCTTTTAGTTTCAGTGAAATGGAGTCTCTGTCTGAGGCTGAATCTGATTTGTTAATAGAGTAAAAAGTGCAGAATCTGTTGTTGAGGCGAGTTAGCATGTTAGCATGTTAGCATCATCGCTAGCTGGTGAAAGCAGAGGGTTCAATTATAAACACCGTCTTAACATCCTTTGTTTTCTGTTCATTACACCTGTTAGCAAAAATACATTGACTTCCAGACCAGGGCACAGGAAGTGCTTCATGTGGTCACAGTCCAGGGAACAGGAAGTGCTTCATGTGGTCACAGTCCAGGGAACAGGAAGTGCTTCATGTGGTCACAGTCCAGGGAACAGGAAGTGCTTCATGTGGTCACAGACCAGGGAACAGGAAGTGCTTCATGTGGTCACAGACCAGGGAACAGGAAGTGCTTCATGTGGTCACAGTCCAGGGAACAGGAAGTGCTTCATGTGGTCACAGACCAGGGGACAGGAAGTGCTTCATGTGGTCACAGACCAGGGAACAGGAAGTGCTTCATGTGGTCACAGTCCTGGGAACAGGAAGTGCTTCATGTGGTCACAGACCAGGGAACAGGAAGTGCTTCATGTGGTCACAGTCCTGGGAACAGGAAGTGCTTCATGTGGTCACAGACCAGGGAACAGGAAGTGCTTCATGTGGTCACAGTCCACACCAAGTAAACCTGAGAGCAGAGGAAGACTGGAGGGGGTTCTGGACCAGGTAGATGGTTCTGGACCAGGTAGATGGTTCTGGATCAGGTTGATGGTTCTGGATCAGGTTAGTGGTTCTGGACCAGGTTGATGGTTCTGGATCAGGTTAGTGGTTCTGGACCAGGTAGATGGTTCTGGACCAGGTAGATGGTTCTGGATCAGGTTGATGGTTCTGGATCAGGTTGATGGTTCTGGATCAGGTTAGTGGTTCTGGACCAGGTTGATGGTTCTGGACCAGGTTGATGGTTCTGGATCAGGTTGATGGTTCTGGATCAGGTTAGTGGTTCTGGACCAGGTTGATGGTTCTGGATCAGGTTAGTGGTTCTGGACCAGGTAGATGGTTCTGGACCAGGTAGATGGTTCTGGATCAGGTTGATGGTTCTGGATCAGGTTGATGGTTCTGGATCAGGTTAGTGGTTCTGGACCAGGTTGATGGTTCTGGATCAGGTTGATGGTTCTGGATCAGGTTGATGGTTCTGGATCAGGTTAGTGGTTCTGGACCAGGTTGATGGTTCTGGATCAGGTTGATGGTTCTGGATCAGGTTGATGGTTCTGGATCAGGTTAGTGGTTCTGGACCAGGTAGATGGTTCTGGATCAGGTAGATGGTTCTGGACCAGGTAGATGGTTCTGGATCAGGTTAGTGGTTCTGGTTCTGTTATTGCTGGCTTCAGTAGTATAAAAAACACCCAGCATGTCAGAGATCAGCAGGTCGATTATAAAAACTACAAAGTGTGCTTAGTGAGTCCCCACAGAGCAGAGGACTCTGGGTAACGTAGTGAAGGCAGCAGGCGGTGCTCTCTGATTGGTGGATTGTCAATTCAGGTTTGGTTCGAATGCTGCTGCAAAAACTGGATCTCCTGAGAGTGACTATAAAAACTCTCTCTCTCTCTCTCTCACACACACACACACACACACACACACACACACACACACACACACGCACACACACACACACAGGAAGACACAGTGTTAACAGAGTTTGTGTCTCTTCGTCCTCTTCTTCCTCAGCAAGGGTCAGAGGTCATCAGAGGTCATCAGAGGTCATCAGAGGTCAGTGACCTTGTTCTCCACCAGGGCGGCGACCTGCTGCAGCCGATAGGCCAACTGCATCTTCTGACCTGAGGCGTCCTCCTCCAGAGACAGGATGATCTGACAGACAGGTGAGAGAGAGACAGGTGAGGAGAGACAGGTGAGAGAGAGACAGGTGAGAGAGAGACAGGTGAGAGAGAGACAGGTGAGAGACAGACAGGTGAGAGAGAGACAGGTGAGGAGAGACAGGTGAGAGAGAGACAGGTGAGGGGAGACAGGTAAGAGAGAGACAGGTGAGAGAGAGACAGGTGAGGAGAGACAGGTGAGAGAGAGACAGGTGAGAGAGAGACAGGTGAGGAGAGACAGGTGAGAGAGAGACAGGTGAGAGAGAGACAGGTGAGGAGAGACAGGTGAGAGAGAGACAGGTGAGAGAGAGACAGGTGAGAGAGAGACCGGTGAGAGAGAGACAGGTGAGGAGAGACAGGTGAGAGAGAGACAGGTGAGAGAGAGACAGGTGAGGGGAGACAGGTAAGAGAGAGACAGTTGACAGAGATACAGGTGAGAGAGAGACAGGTGAGGAGAGACAGGTGAGAGAGAGACAGGTGAGGAGAGACAGGTGAGAGAGAGACAGGTGAGAGAGAGACAGGTGAGAGAGAGACAGGTGAGAGAGAGACAGGTGAGGGGAGACAGGTGAGAGAGAGACAGGTGAGAGAGAGACAGGTGAGAGAGAGACAGGTGAGGAGAGACAGGTGAGAGAGAGACAGGTGAGAGAGAGACAGGTGAGGGGAGACAGGTAAGAGAGAGACAGTTGACAGAGATACAGGTGAGAGAGAGACAGGTGAGGAGAGACAGGTGAGAGAGAGACAGGTGAGGAGAGACAGGTGAGAGAGAGACAGGTGAGAGAGAGACAGGTGAGAGAGAGACAGGTGAGAGAGAGACAGGTGAGGGGAGACAGGTGAGAGAGAGACAGGTGAGAGAGAGACAGGTGAGGAGAGACAGGTGAGGAGAGACAGGTGAGAGAGAGACAGGTGAGAGAGAGACAGGTGAGAGAGAGACCGGTGAGAGAGAGACAGGTGAGGAGAGACAGGTGAGAGAGAGACAGGTGAGAGAGAGACAGGTGAGAGACAGGTAAGAGAGAGACAGGTGAGAGACAGACAGGTGAGAGAGACAGGTGAGAGACAGACAGGTGAGAGAGAGACAGGTGAGAGAGAGACAGGTGAGAGACAGACAGGTGAGAGACAGACAGGTGAGAGAGAGACAGGTGAGAGAGAGACAGGTGAGAGAGAGACAGGTGAGAGACAGGTAAGAGAGAGAGACAGGTGAGAGACAGACAGGTGAGAGACAGACAGGTGAGAGACAGACAGGTGAGAGAGAGACAGGTGAGAGACAGACAGGTGAGAGACAGACAGGTGAGAGAGAGACAGGTGAGAGAGAGACAGGTGAGAGACAGACAGGTGAGAGACAGACAGGTGAGAGAGAGACAGGTGAGAGACAGACAGGTGAGAGAGAGACAGGTGAGAGAGATACAGGTGAGAGAGAGACAGGTGAGAGAGAGACAGGTGAGAGACAGACAGGTGAGAGAGACAGGTGAGAGACAGACAGGTGAGAGAGAGACAGGTGAGAGACAGACAGGTGAGACAGACAGGTGAGAGACAGACAGGTGAGAGACAGACAGGTGAGAGACAGACAGGTGAGAGACAGACAGGTGAGAGACAGACAGGTGAGAGACAGACAGGTGAGAGAGAGACAGGTGAGAGACAGACAGGTGAGAGACAGACAGGTGAGAGACAGACAGGTGAGAGACAGACAGGTGAGAGACAGACAGGTGAGAGACAGACAGGTGAGAGACAGACAGGTGAGAGACAGACAGGTGAGAGAGAGACAGGTGAGAGAGACAGTGTGTTACCTGGTCGTAATATTTGTTGATATACTTGTAGAGTTCATGAAGAGCAACAAGAGTGTTCATCTCTGAGGCAAAGCTTTGCTGAAATGTAGAAACAGATGTGATTATTTCAGTATTCAGAATATACATTGAATAAACTTGAATATACTTATTCATTTACTGCATGAATCTTTATATTATCAAGAAGTGTATCACGAGTATTTGTACTCAGTAACATGTTGAGTTTCTTACCCCGGAGAGTTCAGTCAGAGTGGAGTTCATCTCCTGATAACACCCTGAGGCTGAGCTGTGGATATCACTGTAATACCTACACACACACACACACACACACACACACACACACACACACACACACACAGACACAGACAGACACAGACACAGACACACACACACACACACACACACACACACAGACACAGACACAGACACAGACACACACACACACACACACACACACACACACACACACACACACACACACACACACACACACACACACACACACACACACACACACAGTCATTATAGCATGTCCCTTCACATTGAAATGATACTCCATAGTCCATAGCCCTGGAGCTCTCACCTCTCCACCAGCTGCTTGTATCGGGGGATCTCTCTGGCGTACAGCAGCTTGTTCACAGGAGAGTCCTGATTGGACAGAAAGTCAGAATGAGGTCACATGACAGACAGACAGGCAAACCAGGGTTGCGGTCGAATAGTCCAAAAATCAGCTCCTAAGTTCTAACCCTATCGTCTATTCCTTGACCTCTGAGTGAAAGGTCACGGGGTGAAGGGATAGTGGATAGGAGAATTCAAAAGGACTTAGGAGAAGAGACTGCGGTACTTTAGAGAATCGACTGCACTTCCACTATCCGACGTGTTTATGATGCGCCAGCGGACGTCATGAATGTGCGCCTGCTGCTGTGGGGAAACTATGGAAACTACAGTTTTCTATACAGCGGACTACAACATGGATGTTTAATAAGAACGAGGGACTACTGTAAACTCATCTAGAGACTCTGCACCGTGCTCTGATGCTGTTATGCTTTATGAACGGGGACAACAGAGAAACATATTCTTCATGACCAAAGTTGGAATTGAAATAAAAAAGGAAAGTGAAACTTATTACTTATTACTCGTGCTCTCAGACGCGCTTGCAGGCGTGCAGAGAGAAAATGGAAAAAGGATAAACTCCATGTCTCCCTAGAAATCCTTGGTGCTTGCCTTTCTGACCAGACGGCAGTCAAAGCAGCCAAAACAGAGCACATTTCTCTGTTCATCTCCAAAAACAGCCATAAACCTCAGGTTCTTTTTAATGTCCTCAACTCGCTCATGAATCCCTGTGATGTTTCTTCTATTGTCCCATCGACTACTCTCTGTGATAAGTTTCTTACATTTGTTATTGAAAAAGTATCTGCTCTTAGGCTAGCCCACACTAGTGCTACCCCAGATCCTGCTCCCTCTCTGTGCCCTGCTGTCCTCGACCACTCAGAGCCTGTACCCCTCTCTGTGCCCTGCTGTCCTCGACCACTTTGAGCCTGTACCCCTCTCTGTGCCCTGCTGTCCTCGACCACTTTGAGCCTGGATCCCTCTCTGAGCCCCGCTGTCCTCGACCACTTTGAGCCTGTACCCCTCTCTGTGCCCTGCTGTCCTCGACCACTTTGAGGCTGTATCCCTCTCTGTGCCCCGCTGTCCTCGACCACTTTGAGCCTGTATCCCTCTCTGTGCCCCGCTGTCCTCGACCACTTTGAGGCTGTATCCCTCTCTGTGCCCTGCTGTCCTCGACCACTTTGAGCCTGTATCCCTCTCTGTGCCCCGCTGTCCTCGACCACTTTGAGCCTGTATCCCTCTCTGTGCCCCGCTGTCCTCGACCACTCTGAGCCTGTATCCCTCTCTGAGCCCTGCTGTCCTCGACCACTTTGAGCCTGTATCCCTCTCTGTGCCCTGCTGTCCTCGACCACTTTGAGCCTGTATCCCTCTCTGTGCCCTGCTGTCCTCGACCACTTTGAGCCTGTATCCCTCTCTGTGCCCTGCTGTCCTCGACCACTTTGAGTCTGTATCCCTCTCTGTGCCCTGCTGTCCTCGACCACTTTGAGCCTGTATCCCTCTCTGTGCCCCGCTGTCCTCGACCACTTTGAGCCTCTATCCCTCTCTGTGCCCTGCTGTCCTCGACCACTTTGAGCCTCTATCCCTCTCTGTGCCCTGCTTTCCTCGACCACTTTGAGCCTGTACCCCTCTCTGTGCCCTGCTGTCCTCGACCACTTTGAGTCTGTATCCCTCTCTGTGCCCCGCTGTCCTCGACCACTTTGAGCCTCTATCCCTCTCTGTGCCCTGCTGTCCTCGACCACTTTGAGCCTGT